TAGAGAGAGAGCAGCTAAGGATTGCAAACACTGACTACAGACTACGCATAAGTACACTTGACACCCAAAAACCTGAGAATCCCGGGAAGCGGAAATCCAAGGGTCAAAATCCCCCCCCCCCCCGAAAATTGGCCCATTCAGATGCGAATCCCGCGAGGGATTTACCTAACTTTTCAGGGGCTTTTGAAGCAGTTCCACTAAACTATTCTAGAATCCTGAAAATTTGAAAATAAAGAAAATATACAACCGAATTCTCGAATACCAAACTTTTTTTTGAAGCTTTTGGATTTTTGAAAAATTAGATTTTCCTTGCGCAAAAAAAATATTAATACTTTTTCTATGGTTTTTCTGTCAAAATCCCAAAATCGTATCATTAGGCAAAATTCGTACTAAAATAATATGTGCCCCCTGGGCACGCCCAAAATTTCCCACGCTAATAGAGGCGCTTTTTTGGCTAGTTATGCCGGAAATTCGGGAAATTCGTATAGCCTCTATTAAAGTAATGACGGGCCCAAAATAACACACAAATTATTGCCAGAAAATTCAGCAAAAATATTTCATGATTTTATTTGAAAAGCAAGCAAACAGAGGCCAAATCGTGAAGGAAAAAATCAATCAAAAAAATTAATCAAAAATCATAGATCTCTTTAACTATATAAAATTCGGCTTCTCATAAGCTTCAACAGCTGCCAGAAATTTTCCGGAAACTGCTAAATAATCCGCAACGCTCCCAAAAACGGGAGGACGAAGACTGCTATGTTTACACACACGCGTTTTGCGAGGCTAGGCAGCCCCCCCAGGGGGTGTGAAGTGGGCACCCTCAGTTTTTACGCAAATTAGTTTTTTCTGGGGAAACTTTGGCCGGAAAGATTCCAAAACTTAAGCCTAAAGGGAGCGTGCCACAAAATCCGTCGGCAATCTGCTAGCCTGCCCTCTCCTCTTCCTCAACAATCTCTGCTAGCCTGCCCTCTCCTCTTCCTCAACAATCTCTGCTAGCCTGCCCTCTCCTCTTCCTCAACAATCTCTGCTAGCCTGCCCTCTCCTCTTCCTCAACAATCTCTGCTAGCCTGCCCTCTCCTCTTCCTCAACAATCTCTGCTAGCCTGCCCTCTCCTCTTCCTCAACAATCTCTGCTAGCATGCCATCTCCTCCGACCATTTTGATTCCAAATTCCGACACACTCCTACTCTCAAAATTTTAATTAGCGCCCAGTTGTGCGGTGTTGAGTGAGTGTGCCCTGAGGGCACATCCACACACTCAAACAATGTGCGGTTGCGTGCAGCTGGCATCTGTCCTTATCCGACCCCAAAGATGGAGCAGCATCCTTGTGATGACAGCTCGAAAACGTTGAAACTTTCGAGTGCGTATATTTAGGCTAGGCAGGCTAGCAGAGATTGTTGAGGAAGAGGAGAGGGCAGGCTAGCAGAGATTGTTGAGGAAGAGGAGAGGGCAGGTTAGCAGAGATTGTTGAGGAAGAGGAGAGGGCAGGCTAGCAGAGATTGTTGAGGAAGAGGAGAGGGCAGGCTAGCAGAGATTGTTGAGGAAGAGGAGAGGGCAGGCTAGCAGAGATTGTTGAGGAAGAGGAGAGGGCAGGCTAGCAGAGCCAATTTAAATGCTGTCTATCTATCCAGATCTACTACGGTTCCTCGTAGTTGTTGAAGATAGATGAGAAACATTTGTTCGAGTTGTCCCTCCTTGTCTTCCTCCTCCTCAGCGCACCCCTTTTGAGTTGATCGATCACCGCAAGTTTTGCCAGTCAGCAACAGCATAAGGGGGGGGCACGCGCGACAAACAAAAAATTGGACCTGGCGGCCGGGTGGGGGTGCTGTGTAGTAAATTAGGGGTGATTGTGGGCACGGTGAGATTCGAATCTTCCCTAATAATCTCTGCTAGCATGCCCGGCTCCTGGAAAAGTTGGAAAACACGATTTTTTTTTAAATCTACCTTTCGAAGTGGTTAGTTTTGGCAAGTATTGTGTTAAAAATATGCATAGTCGTTTTAAAGGGCCATCGAAGGCAAAGGGGGCTCGAGGGCAGGCTAGCAGTGACGCTTTCGGAAGTCCACAAAAATTTCTCTCTGTCTCTCTATCTCGCTGTCTATCTCGCTACAGTACCCCATAACTGTCTCAATGTTCCAGTCGACTCCTCTGTACGCGCCGCTACACAATAAAAGGAGTGCCCCCGGTTTTACAGCTCTCCCCCTCTCTCTCTCTCTCTCTCTCTCTCTCTCTCTCTCTCTCTCTCTCGCTCTCCCTGCCCCTCTCTCTCGCTATATAGTATGTTGTGGTTGTGGTGGTCAGATGATGAGAGCATATGCTCTCTCTGTCTCGCGTATCGGTGGGCCCTCAAGGGCCCCATCTTTGGGCCCCCTCTCGAAAAATAAGGGGGCCCAAGGCGAAAAGACGAACCTCTTGACCCTGAGGGGCCATTGCGAGGGCCACACCCTGGCCCCCGATAGCCATATCGCACTCAGATTTTTGAGAGGGCCCGGGGCAGCGGCCAAAAACAACAAAGAGAGTTTGAGAAGGCGCACTGCTGAAACGGGGACTTTCCTAAGCGATCACGGCTAGCTTGCCCTGCTCCAAATTCTCTGCTAGCCCACCTCTCCTCCTAAAAGATCTCTGCTAGCCTGCCAGCGACTACAGCCCCTTGGCTGAATTCCAAAATAAGCCTGGAACCCTATTAGAATGAATAATTCACGCGAAAATTCCGCGGGAACGCGTAACGACGATTTCCGAGTGAGTATGCTGGCCAGTCGGGGCAACATTAGGAGGGGAGGAAAGGGCAGAATTGGGTCATTAAAGGGCCCTAAACAACGGACCCCCACTATGGTCAGCTCATCTAGTTATTCCTTTAGCTAGCTATTTTAGGGACTAGAAGCGCTAATAGGCTAGCAGAGATCATTTGGGAAGCGAAAGAGAGCGAGAGTGAGAGAGCAGAGATTGTTGAGGAAGAGGAGGGGCAGGCTAGCAGAGATTGTTGAGGAAGAGGAGAGGGCAGGCTAGCAGAGATTGTTGAGGAAGAGGAGGGGCAGGCTAGCAGAGATTGTTGAGGAAGAGGAGAGGGCAGTCTAGCAGAGATTGTTGAGGAAGAGGAGAGGGCAGGCTAGCAGAGATTGTTGAGGAAGAGGAGAGGGCAGACTAGCAGAGATTGTTGAGGGAGAGGAGAGGGCAGACTAGCAGGGATTGTTGAGGAAGAGGAGAGGGCAGACTAGCAGAGATTGTTGAGGGAGAGGAGAGGGCAGACTAGCAGGGATTGTTGCGGAAGAGCAGCCTAGCAGAAATCCCTTGAGGAATCGCCGGCCCAAATTTTGGCCAATTACCGTAGCCAAAGGTACCCTTAGGCCCCAAATCGCAGCCAATCGCTGGGTCAATTGCGCAACCACCTAATATACCCCCCCAAAAAAAAGCAGCAAACAAACAAACACTCCGTTCCCATACCAAATTCCGCTCCCAGCGCGATCCACCCTATCGGGTTACGCGCGGATGTCCAAAGTTTTGGGGGAGCAATAAAAAGGCGCTTGGGGGGAATATTCTAGTCAGCGAACCCGGGGACGCAGCTCGAATTACAGGAGGACCCACACAAAAAAATGGTCGCGCACTTTTTCGGGGGGTCGCCAAGTTCTTGGGCTTTAGCGTAATAAAATTGGAGTGAAGGGCCAGATAGCAGAGGTTATTTTGGAAATCGGGCTCCGCAGGTGGAACTAAAGCGTCAGGGAGGCTAGCAGAGATCCTTGACGAAAACACCTTCTTCTCAAAGGCACCTTCGCAAAGTTGCAGGCATTCTTTCGGCAGGGAAGACAGGCTAGCAGAGGTTCTTGAGGATGTAAGCTCTCTATAGAAAGGGAGGGCATGCTAGCAGAAATTGTTTGGGAATTATATCGCTAGTGCAGGCTAGCAAAGATCCTTTAGGAAAGAGCAGGCAACTGGCCTTTTAAGAAGCTAGCCAAGATTCTTTGGGATATAAATACAAAACCCCCGCCCCCGGGCAGGCTGGCAGAGATTTCCTAGGAATCACAGAAGGCCGGCTAGTCGAGATAAGAATTGTGCGGGGAACTTCAGAAAAAAAAACAGACCAGCCGAGATCGCTTAGGAAACTTCCCTTGACCAAAAAATTAGCAAACAACCTAGCAAGGGCCAGCCGAAAAACGCGGCAACTAGTGCCAACTTTTCGGGTCTCTCTGTTGTGTTTGGATGAGACCGGCGGAAAGGGTGGGTAACCGGATACGACGATGAGGCCCGCGCCAAGAGTCGGGCTAGGCTAGCGACTCGGCCAAGTGAAGTTCGAGCGGTTGCGGGTCCTGGGGGCCGGTCCGGGCACCCGGATGCAAATTTACTAGCGAATCCGGGAGATCCGTAGAATCTAAAAGTCCGGGTCGTCGGTAAGTTCCTGAAAAATCGCTGCTAGCCTGCCATATCCTCTCCCCAATTTTAAATCCTAAAAACATCGATAAAATTCATTTTCACTTGAAAATCAGGCCTGAGCGCACGTTAAAGATAACAGAAAAAAATTATTACTATTTACTACAGAAACTGATCAATCGATCGATCGATCGATCGACCGCTACTCGCAATCACTATGTAAATACACGTGTTTTCAAAAGGTGAAAAGATGATGCGGGGGAGCAGAGCGGCAAAATCACTGTCCAACATTAATTCACAACTCCGCAAAGGCCATAAAAATTCACAGGGCCGGGGAATAGCAAGGAGAAGCACCAAAAACGAGGCGAAAAACCTTGGAGTAACAACAGCCAGGAAAAAATACAAAAAAGGCGGGGAGATTAAGTGAAAACAGAGAGACATCAAACGGTATACGTCAATTCAAGCACGCCATTTATTAAAATTAACACATACAATGAGAGAGGACGGCTTACAGGGAGCATGAGCATTAAGGAGAGGGTACTAGCAAAAACAAAAAATCCGGAATGGGCAGGGCATCAATCTAGGCAATGTGACGGCATCTGGCTTGTCCAATGGCACGGTGGTGATGAAAATGACTTCTACGGCTCGACCTCGATGACCAGGTCGCCCGCCTCGAACTTGTCACCCTTCTTGGCGAAGACGCGCTTCACGGTGCCTGCAAAACGGAGATAGAAAATTTTATCATTTTTATAGAATTATTAAAATTATCCGAATTTATTCGACGAATTAAGTTGAATTTTGTATAATGTTTTTCTTCAATTTTAATCTTGAGCAATTTTACGCAATTCAAGTAAAATAGGCTTTTCTAAAAGTTCCAGAGAATTTAAATACAAAAAATACAAAAACAAAACGTGCTAAAATATTGGAAAAATTGGAGTAAATTAATTAGTTAACAAAACAACCAGGGTTGAAAAGCCGCTCCGCGGCTTTTCACCCCTGGGCCCCGTCAGGTCCGATCACAAAAATACTATGCATATTCGGCTCGGATCCCACTGACGAAAATGCGAAATAGCCTCGGTGGCTTGATTTTATAGGCAATATCCACTTCCGGCGCATGCAAATTTTGCCTAACAAAGGAAATTTTACAAAAACCTAAATTTAATGTCGAAAATAGTAAATTTTGAAAAATCTAATTGGTCGGCAGTCATCTTCATTCCATTACGCACCAAACGACGTATCGGTTCTTTAGGATTCCCGGGGGGGGAAAGTATTCCCGGGGGGGGAAACCAAATTTTTTTCGGCGAAAGCCTAGATTTTTGTATAAATTGCGGATGCGTTTCTAAATTGTTTTTAACTATTCCTGTGCATAAAAACTACACACATTTTAACCAAAAAAAATGTAAAAAATTAAAAATTAGGTCGAAAAATAGACCCAAAATGACCAAATTTTCGACTTTTTCAAACATTTTTCTAAATTTTTCTGAAAGTTATTCTGCTTTAAATATAGTTAAAACTTACTAAAAACAATTCGAAAACACTTTATATTTGATTACTAGGTCAACCGGGACCACCAGGAAAAAATTGGTTTCCCCGGGAATACTTCCCCCGGGAATCCTAAAGAACCGACGTATCAAACATGCCGGAAAACTTCTTCCCTGACCCGTTATGAGCGGAACATACATCCGGAAGTGGATGCAAATCTACACAGACACACACACACACTATTTTTTTATATATAGTAGGATGCTCCCACCAGCAATCGGCGAGTCGATGACCATCTCCATCTTCATGGCGGAGAGCACGAAAAGAGCTTGCTTCGGCGATACCTCAAAGAAAAACCCAAAATAAGATTTTTCCATGAAAACGGACCTTATCCCCTTCTTGCACCTTCAGCTCGAGCACCTCGCCCGGCATCGGCGCTCCGATGCTGCCCTTGACGCCGGCTAGGGCGCGCGGGCGGACGATCAGCTCCTAAAAACGAAGTAGTACGTACTGAATTTCCCCCACCTTGCTGGCCTCCTTGTCCTGCACGAAGATCGAGCGCATCTGTCCGTTCAGATCGAAGAACACCTAGAACCACAAGGCGTTCAAGTTCGGACTCTGAGCCCCACCTCACGCTCGCCCTTCTTGTTCAGCTTGCCCTCGGCGAGCAGCTGGATGGCCAGCGTCTTGCCCGTCTCGATCTCGACGTCAGCCTCCTCGGCAATGTCGAGGCCGGTGAGGAAGATGCGGGTTGGTAGCTTGTCCACCGGGCCGTAGCGCTGGCGGAACTGCTCGAAGTCGTCGAACACTTTCGGGAACATGGCCCACGACATCACGTCGACGTCCCTGAGAAGCGAGGGTCTATTTCAAACTCTTATAGTCCTAATCTACCTCAACTTGCGGCCGTGCTGCTCCTCCAGATCTTTCTTCGCCTTCTCGAGGTCCATCGGCGCCATATTCTCGCCGCCGCGGCCGTCAATCTTCGGCTTGCCGCGCAGCACCTTGGTGCGCAACGGTTCCGGGAATCCGTAGGGCGGCTGGCCGACGTAGCCCTGCATGAACTCGACGACGCTCTTCGGGAAGGACAGCTCGTCGGCACGGTCGACGAGGGTCTCGCGCGTCAGGTTGTTCTGCACCATGAACTGCGCCAGGTCGCCGACAATCTTCGATGAGGGGGTCACCTAACGAAGGCAGAGTTGCAGCAAGTGAGCCCTTTGGGGAGTATTACCTTGATGATGTCGCCGAGGGCCAGGTTCGCCTCGCGGTACATGCGCTTAACGTCGTCGAACTTGTCGCCGAGGCCGAGGGAGAATGCCTAGAATTCGGGGGTCACGCCAGTCGCCTAAAATCGCTAACCTGGAACTGCAGATTGGTGTACTGGCCGCCGGGGATCTCGTGCTTGTAGACGTCGGCGTTGCCGCTCTTCATCGTCGTGGCCGACTCGAACGGCGCGTACAGCTGCCGGGCGCTTTCCCAGTAGGCCGAGTACTCGGAGATCGAGTCCATGTTCAGGCCTAGGAATTGAACATTTTTCGGTCATTTCGCGATATTTAAAGTGGAAAAATTGCCTAAACACATTGTTAAAAATGTTTAAAATTTCATCGAATACTCGCTAAGAACGTTCTTTAGGATTTTTAAGATTGTAATTTTTTTAAAGTAAAAGTATAGCAATGGTAGATATTCTAATAACGTCCTCAATAATAGCAGGAATATTTCAAGCGGAGAGCCATCTAAAAAACTGTAAAAAATGGAGCTTGTCGCAAATCACTATTTTCTTTTCTTTTTAGTAGCTAAATTTGTATGTTTACGCCTAGGGAAAAACGGTTGCGAGGCACGTTCTCTATTTTCACTAGAAAAATTGGCTACTAAAGAAAGTTCTAAAAAAGTAGATAAAAAGGGGCAAAAAAAACGAAAAAGTAAAAAATTAAAATTCAAAAGCTAATAATGCGCAAGGAATTTGCTTTCATACCTGTGTCGTGCTTGGTGCCCTGCAGGGCGGCGACGATGGCCCCCATGCTGGGCTGCGAGGTCATGCCCGACATCGAGTCGACGGCCGCATCTACAGCATCAGCACCAGCCTTCGCGCACTCGATCATCGACGCCACGCCGGCGCCAGCCGTGTCGTGGGTGTGCACATGAATGGGCATATCCGGGAACTTGTCACGCAGCGCGGTGATGAGCAGCTTGGCGGCCTCGGGCTTCAAGACGCCGGCCATGTCCTTGATGGAGAGGATGTGGCACTGCGCTTTGACGAGTTGTTCGGCCAGGTCGAGGTAGTACTGGAGGTTGTACTGGGTGCGCGTCGGGTCGGAGACGTCGCCTGAAAAAGGGTCAATACCACAGTCCGGAGCTCACCAGTGTACGCGATCGCCGCCTCAACAACACCGCCCGCCTTGCCGACCGCCTCCATGCCGACGAGGAGGTTGGGCACGTAGTTGAGCGAGTCGAACACGCGGAAGATGTCCATGCCCGACTTGACGGCCAGCTCGGCAAACTTGTCGATGACGTTGTCCGGGTAGTTGCTGTAGCCCATCGCGTTAGCGCCGCGAAGCAGGCACTAAAAATAAAGAGCGAATGCTGCTGGCTTTTTGGTGAGCCTACTTGGAAAGGAATATTTGGGATGAGCTTGCGCAGTGTCTCCAGCCGTTCCCAGGGGCATTCGTGGAGGAAGCGCATCGACACGTCGAAGGTGGCTCCTAAAGCGGGGTAGAATAAGCTTATAAAGTCCAGATCATCTACCTCCCCAGTTCTCCAGCGAGAACAGGTGCGGGAACTTGTGCGAGACGAACGGCGAGATCTTGGCCAGGTCGTAGGTGCGCACGCGGGTGGCGAGCAGCGATTGGTGGGCATCCCTGAGAGAAAAAACATTCCAAAAGCCACGCCGCAGAAATGCACCTGAAAGTTGTGTCGGTGATCATGCAGCCCTTGTTGCGGCGCACGGCCTTCGCGAACGCCTCGGGGCCCTCGTTGACGAGCACGCTGCGGAGACCGACCGGGGGCTTGGTGCCTAAAAAACGATTTATGAAACCTATTTAGTAATATGGCAAACTGAAAGCGGTAAAAACCCTAAGAAATTTCCAAAAACAAAAGCGCCGTCCCTACGTGTCAGCGGACTCGAAATAAACGTTAAAAAGAGCCAAATTCAGCCGGAAACCGACCCATCGGTGCTTCTTCCTCCTCTGGAATAGGGGCATAGAATCATTGGTGCTGGACTGTTAACGGTGGTGGGAGGGTAATCGGCGGACCAATTTTTCACAGTAATTTCGTACGCCTCTATAGCAAAATGTAAAACATTTTTATAGCATTTTACACCGTTTTTAGACATAACAAGCCTATAAAAAGACAAAGTCTTTCCAAATGTGTGGCTTTTTGGTCAAAAACGTATGAAAAATGGCCAAAAAGGTCAACTTTTCAAATGTTCAAATTTAAAAAAATTTTAGCGCTTTCCAGAAAGCACAAAAAAGCTACTAAAAACTATAAAAATACGCTAAAGACTATCAACAGGTGTGGGCGGAGAAACAAAAATGGTTTTTCCTGCCAAACCCCCCCCCCCCCGCTAACAGTCCAGTACCAGTAATCGTTGGCAACCTGCTAAAATAGCTTACCGGCTTTGAGGTGGGGAACCGGGGGCTCGACGTGGGCCGGCTTTGTAGTGGTGGCAAGCGGGGTGGTGGCGCCGTTGACTTGGATCTGAATTTTGGTTGCGCTGAGAATCTCTTTGCATCGACAAACCTCGCCCAAATACGTGAGCAGCTTCTGGGCACGATTTTGGCTGGGCTGAAAAGAATCGATATTTCATAGGGTGTAAATTACAACACCTTGAAAGCAAACAATTCCGGGTGTTCGTCGATGAAGTAGGTGTCGACGGAGGCGTCAATAAAGGCTTTGTGCTGGAGGACGTTAAGCAGGAAGGGAACATTCGTCTGAATTTCAAGTTTTAAGGGATAGAAAACCTCAAGAAACCCCAGTTTTCTGTCAAAAGCCCGAGTTTTCAAACACGAATTCTCACAACTTTTTTCATGGTTTTTTCTGTTTTTTTATAAAGAAAAACCACTCGCAAAAAAACTGTTCTAAATAGTTTTTTTCCTAAAAACCTAAAACCTAACAGAGAGCTTTCTTTATTTATTTATTTAATATGGTTTTGAATACAAATAGTGGAAGTGTTTCGAAACGATTTTTTTATTATTTTCTAAACGTAAAAACGGTTTGATGTATAGTGTAAACTTTTGCTAAAAATCTCAAAAATGGCGATTTTTCGACCAAAAAAATGGCCGGGTTTTTACAAAATTTTGAATTTTTGAAAAGTTTTTAGAAAGTTTTTCTAGCTTAAAAAAGTTATATCCTAGTAATAATATCATTAACATACTTCCTATTCAGTTACTAGGCATTTCTAGGCTTATACAACAAACTTTCGTTCGTCCCCCCTCGATAATGCTAAAGGACCCATTGATACCTTGACGCCACGGATGCGGAACTCCTTGAGGGCGCGGACGAGCTTGGCGGCGGCTTTGTTGTGCGAGCGCGCTGAGGCGATCACTTTCACCAGCAGCGAGTCGTAGTGCGGCGTGATCACGGAGCCGGCATAGGCCGAGGCCGAGTCGAGACGGATGCCCATGCCCTCGCCAGAGCGGAACACCTCAATGCGACCCGAGTCCGGCTGGAATCCACGAGCTGGATCTTCAGTTGTCAATCGGCACTGGATAGCGGCCCCATTGACGTGGATCGTGTCCTGCTTCAGCTTCAGGTCCTCCAGCGTCTTGCCCTCGGCCACGCGGATCTGCGCTTGCACGAGGTCGACACTAAAAAAGAAAATAGACGTCGTTATCGCCAGTAAACGTACCCAGTGACCTCCTCGGTGACGGTGTGCTCCACCTGAAGTCGCGCGTTGACCTCGATGAAATAGTGGTGGCCCTTCTGGTCGACGAGGAACTCGACGGTTCCTGGATTCATCAAAATTCAGGTTACAGCCCTAGAAAGATACCAGCATTCTGATAGCCGACGTGCTTGGCGAGGCGGATAGCGTCGGCGAGGATCTTGTCGCGGACGCCTGGCGGCAGAGCGGGGGCGGGCGCGATTTCCACGACTTTCTGATGACGGCGCTGCACCGAGCAGTCTCTCTCGTACAGGTGAACGATATTTCCGTGGTGATCTCCTGGAAAGGGGCGAGGTTCTTTGGTATTATCGTGGGGGGGGGGACAAAACTTGTCTTAGGATCCAATGTTTTCAATCTAAATAGCGGAAGCCTTTCCAAACTGCTTTTACTATTCCTAAACGTAAAAACTACACAAATTTGTGTTCCTCCATTACCTAGCAGTTGCACTTCGATATGGCGGGGACGTTCGACAAATTTCTCGACAAACAGGCTGCCATCTCCGAACGCCGATTGAGCCTCCGAGTAGGCGCGGCGGAAGGCCTCCTCGACCTCTTCAATCTTGTCGACGCGTCGCATGCCGCGTCCGCCGCCGCCATAGGCCGCTTTCAGGATGATGGGTGTGCCGTGTTCCTTGACAAATTCCACGGCCTCCTCGGCTCTAAATAGTTTTATTTATCTATTTATTGCTTTGCACTAGACCTCCCGAACCCCCCCATTTACCCCCAAAGACACCATTTTGACCCCCATCGCAACACCCACCAAAACCCCCCAACAGACACCCCTGCCAACCCCCAATGGACCCCCCACTCGAACCCCCCATTCCAACCCCCAAAGACCCCCATGGGGCAAAATTCTGGCTATTTTAAGTTAATGTTTTAAAGGTTTAAAATCGTTTCAGCCTTTTTCAACTTTTTTTTTCAACACCCCTCAAAACCCCCATTCGAACACCCCGCCCAACCCCCACCCTACCCCCCTCGCAACCCCCCTATGACCCCCATCCAACCCCCACAAGTATGGGGGTAAATGGGGGGTCGGGAGGTCTACTTTGCACGCTGCGCAGTCAAGAAGAAGAACAGCAGAAGAGTGATTAGATTCCAGGAGTAGAAAATCGAGACTTTCAAGAAATCGAAGATAACCCACTTGGTGATGGGCCCAGAGGTACCGGGAACGACCTGGACACCGGATTCAATGGCAGCTTGACGAGCAGCAACCTGGAAACAGCGTTTGAATCACGTTTTTGAAAGACTGCGAAAAATCGCGCCCCCTTACCTTGTCCCCCATTCTAGCCATCACGTCAGGGCTCGGCCCGATGAAGACGATGCCCGCATTCTCGCAGGCCTGCGCAAAGTCGGCGCGCTCCGACAGGAAGCCGTAGCCCGGGTGGATGGCGTCAATGTTGTTCTTCAGGGCCGTGTCGATAATCTGGTCAATCGTCAGGTAGGCGGCGACTGGCGGTAGACCCTTGCCGACAAGATAGGCCTCGTCGGCCTTCAGGCGATGCATCGAGTGCTTGTCCTAAAAAAAAACAGATTTCCGCTTTCTCGGAAGTTTTCATTGTGCACATTGCTTAAAGCAAAGCAAGCTTTTCTATGTTTCGTTTTCGCACTGTTTCGTGTTTTTCTTAAATCCAATTTTTCAATCAAAATACATAGCGGACGTGTTTCCAATCTGTTTTTAATAGTCCTAAACGTAACTTTTACAAATGTTCAAAAACTATTTTTTTCGACCAAAAACTATTTTTTTTTAAATGGTTCCTATTAAGTCACTATACATTTCTAGACTTATACAAAGAAATTCCAACCCCCCCTCCTCCCCCGAGATAATGCAAATCAACCAAAACATCAATTTCCCCTTTTCGGAAGTTTTCAGATTGCGCACATTACGTCTCGCTAATTTCCATATCCAGGAATTCCCCGGTCCGGACGAGACAGGCGATATCTCGATGCCCGAGGGCAAAAACAGCGCGATAACGCCCCCGGTAGCAAATAGAGGGGGCAAAGAGCAAAATGCATGCATCAGGAACTAGGAAAAAACCAAAAGATCAAACCTGCTCGGAGAAGATGGCCACACTGGTCTTGTTCAACTCGGTGAGGGCACGGAAGACACGGATAGCGATTTCTCCGCGGTTCGCCACCATCACCTAAAAATTACAAGATCATCCTCAGAAGTTGTACCCAAATACCTTGTTGAACTCGCGCTTCTTGACGGTGGTGCTGGCGTGGCGGTAGGCGACCATCAGCTTGCGGGAGGTGATCATCCCCGGGTGACGAAGGAGGCCCATCCTGGAAGCTGTTGCGTTGCAGAATGAATCGAGCAATTTCCAAAATATCGAACACGGGAAAACCAACAAAGTTTATACGAGTTTGCGATTGTATATGGCGGGAATGGAAATCGGGAACCGTCTTGCCCAGCAAACAAGAAGTATGAATGGAAATTTCGAATTTGGTGTGAATTTGAATTTTCCGGATGCCGATTTTGGATGAAAATTCAAAACTACAAAGTGTTACACTTCGGGATGGAGGTCAGAGTTTTACGAGCGCCTCTAGAGACTATTTAAAAGTGGATTTATGTAAATTGAGCTTTTGTAAAACCGGAAAATAATCCAAAACAGCACAAACTCATTCCGTAAAAAAAATGAGGTAGAGTCCCCCAAAAAGGACTAGGAGCTTTCGCGTTATCGGGGGGGCGGGGATCGGATAAGCCCAGAATTTCTTTGTCACAGAATCCATATATATTTACGTTTAAAGTTTTTGTAAAAACTAGGAATAACAAAAAAAAAAACAGTGCAGAAACACATCCTCATTTTATATTACATTTTCCTGGAAAACTTTTCCCCGTGGAATAGCGGAAGTGTTTCTAAAAGTTTTTTTACTATCCCTAAAAATAGAAAATTTGAAAAAAGAAGTAGAAATATCGGGTTTTTCGATCAAAAATGACCGTTTTTGACGAAAATGTCAATTTTTGGAATTATTTTTGAAAGTTTATAGATAGTCTTTCTAATAAAAATATACTTTTATTTTACTAAAACCATTATTAAAATACTTTATATTGTCTCAGGCATTTACTTATACAAAAATTGCCTCGATAATGCGACAGAACCCGGTAATCCCGTTAAACTATCTAAATCCGGGCCAAGTGATACTGGCGTTCGCCCAAAAGCGGCGAGTGGTCAGCAGCCGGCCGGGGCGATGGGGGCGCAGGGCCGAGAACAACAAACTGGAAAGCTCTCTCCCTTTAAAGAAAGAAAAAGAGTAGGAGAGAAAGAAAGACAGAAATATAGGGTCTGAAAAGGCTCGTGAGACACGGGAGAGACCCCCGAAAAAGCGATAGTGGCACGGGGGAAAACACAGACAGCAGTCGACTGCAGTGAACGGCCAATTGCGAGCAGAGTTGTAAATAAACAGGGGCGGAGACTTGCGCCCCGGCATGTGAGCTGTACCCCGGAGATTGGAATCTCGGGGGCAGGCTAGCAGAGTTACTTAGTGGCCGTAGGGCTCTCGTTTAGGTCGGAGCAAAATGAGGCCATCTGTCCGAAATCGCAAACAATTTGTTCGCGAACGATAAGGAACAGCCGTTTTGGGCTCAGTGGACGAACAGACATCATTGCTCACCAGAAGTTAGCTGTCAAGCGGATAGTCGAATGACCCCGGGGATGGGTCGTCGGGAGCAAAGAACGAATCGAGGGGTAGCCATCGCTAAGGGTGTGCGTTTCGGCCTTGATCCTCCGATAACCGGGAAAATATTATCGATTCGAAAACAAACCCTTTTCATCCCGACTTGGTTCTGATAACCGATATGTGAACAACATCGAACCAACCGTAAATTTATTTCCAATATTTTTATGTACATAATTCCCTAAAAAAAATGGGGAATGAGTAAAACGGGGGGTGAGGATAAAAACAAAAACGACTGCACATTGAAGGGGGGCGAATCACATTCGTTCGAAGCGTTGGCGGGACCCGTTTATCCAGAGAGAGTCGAGGGAATAGAGACGAAATGCAAGGTACTGGTGACTTTGTCAGTGATTAGGACCGAAAAACGAATAGTAGAGCAGAAAACTATTATCAAGCCAATGAACTATGTGCAAACCCGTTCAAACAGCAGGAGGAGACGGCGATGGGGATGGAGGCCAGCGAGTGATCGGCTCCCTCGAAGGAGCATCGCCACCTAAATTGACGAATAGGCAAAAATATGTGGTGCTGGACTGTTAGCAGGGGGGATTTCACTTCAGCAGGCAAAACTAATTTTTCGCAGTAATCCTGTGCGGATTGGAACCAAATTTTACAAAATTTGCAAAAAGATTTGCCTTTTTGGTTAAAAATGTATGAAACACGGCCAAAAACGTCAGAATTTTGGAGTTTTCAAAATCTTAAAACATTTTTGTAACTTTCTCGCAATCAAAAACTACGAAAACTTATAAAAAATAAATTTCAAGCTACACGGTTTATTATTAACAGGGCTATAAACGGAAAAAAGCAAAAGAAGGACCAAAAACGATCAAAAAATTAGAATTTTCAAAAACGTTTCCAGCCGTCAAAATTACAAAAACCTATAAAAACTACATTATAAAGCTAAATTATTTATTATTAACAGGAAATATACACCGAAAAAAATTAGTCCCCCGGCTAACCAAAATTCTCATTAATACCTTCACGCTCGCTGTCCTCCGCATCAGCGACAGCCCCGGAAGTGTCCATGTCGTCCACGTCGCTACGGCCATCCGTCGCCTCGTCGTCTCCCTGAGCCCCGTCATCCGAGCGATCCGCTGCTGAAAAAGTGGTACAAACATTGCACTTTATGAAATCGCTACACTTTCAAAAATATCCATACGAATAAATCTTACCCATCTCCTCAGCGGTAAGCGCCTCATATCGCCGCCTGGCGGCTTGAAAGAAGAACTGGATGGTGCGGCGGGGATGGTGGCCGGTGCTTTCCGATGCGGAGGAATCGTCAGAGTCGTCAGAATCGCCGCTGATTCCATCGTCGATATCGAGGTAGTGCACTTGGTCGACATAGGCTGAAAATCATCGATTTAAAATAACCAACAAAATTAAATTACGAAAAAATAGAAAATCGTAGAATTATGAAAAAATAGGATCAAAATATACCGCTAAAGGGACCGCTATCGTCGCTATCGTCCAGGAAACCGCGATGCATCGAGCCGCCCATTGTTTCATGGCGAGTCTGCTGAAAAGGACAAGTTTTCGAAATTTTAAAATATGTGCATATAAGATCTTCAAAATATGCATTAAGATAGGAAAAAAGTAAAAACGGGTAAAAGCGGAATTAACATTCTCCGCGGAAAAACCCACATTCGATATCTCATCAAAATAGGACAGCATTTGCGGATCTTCGTCCACATTGTCATCGAGGTTCTCAACGGGATCGATAAAACCGCCCTGAAAATATTTTTTAATTTTAAATTTATTTTCATAAAACAATACCATTTGCGGGGTTCTCAATATCGGGTTGATCGTCGAATCCATCGTCGCGTACGGCGTCCAAATCTGAATGAGAAAATTAAAAAAATGTCGTAGAAAAGAGAAAAACATCCAAAAACGTTTTCCCGATACCTTGACAATTTTCTCAATCCCGCAACTCGCCAGCGCCTTCATTTTCTTGTTGTACCGGACGTGGTTGACGATCGACCGGTGCCCCTGCAGCATCGTCGTGCAGTTATCCAGATTTCGGTACATTTCTAGGCCTAAAAATTATCTCAAATCTTGGAGTGTTTTAAAAATACCTTCGACCGGTGGCAATTCGGCAAATCCGTCCGGAATCTGCCAGGCGTAAATGTTGAAGTCATCGCCACCTAGAAATTGAATGCCAAAATTTCCGCTAAAAGTTACCCATCATCACGACGTCATCCTCAGCAAAGATCACTGACTTGATCGTGTGAAAGCTGCGGAATTGTGGGTCTTTGAGGCGAAGCACCTGGGCTGACGGAAGCTGAAAATTTTCCGCGTAAAAAAATCGGACTTTTGCCTACTTTATTAGTGTTTTTAGTAAAATCAAACTATAATCCGACTAGAAAAACTATCTAAAAACTTCCAAAAGTCGAAGTTTTGGTCAAAAAGCCCGTTTTTGGTCGAAAATCGATAATGTATCAATCTTTTTTTACACAAAAATTAGTATAGTTTAGAATAGTAGAAGTAGTTTAGAGACACTTTCGTCCTTTATTGTTAAAACAAAGAACCAAAAAGGAATTTCAGTTCTCCTAAGGTTGGCAAAATCTTACATCCAAAACAAGCGGATAATCCTTGTTCTGGTTCAACACAATCCGTTTTCCCGTCGAGTCGAATTCGCCGTAGAAACAACCGCGGGGCGTGTGCCGGGAGAAGTCGAACAGTTTTCTAAAAAAAAGCAATATTTTCAGCCATTGGCGTGGAGATCCTACTTTTTTGGATGCCTAAGGTCGTGCATAGACAAGCCATCTCCTTCCGTACAAACAGCAAAAATATTCGGGACTTCCGGGTTGAACGCGCCGCAGTAGGCTGATCGGCCGGGAAACCTGGAAAACTATTTTGAAGGTAATTTAAAGGATACCTAAGCACGGTAGATGCAGAATTTTCATTGCTTCGTGTATCATAGAAATCGATGTGGCCTTGGTCTCGTGCCGCAGCGACGACGTGGTCATCGACGGGCTAAAACATTATTTTTTTGTTTTGCCTGATCCATTTTTTCGATTATCCGAAGATGCCCAAGGGTCAAAACTTACACTACAGCTGAGATGGTACACCGGTGAAGCTCCGTGCCATTGCCTGAGCGCGCTACCGGTTGCAATGTCGTGCAGAAGCACGCCGCTGTCATTTCCGCCCGAGTACAGCTGCCGATCGCTAGAAAATCCATATCAATGCAATTATAAAAAACCTTACTCGTTGGAAAATGAATACGTGAAAATGTTGGCGCTGTGCTTTTCGCGCATAATCTGACGTGGTTCAGGGTCGCCGCGTGCCAACAAATCGCCAACGCTCCACACGAGAATGCGCTGGTCGTCACCGCCTAAAAACGTACAACCAATTGCTATTGCCCTTACCGCTAGCCATCATATCCTGAGAATGCGAGAACTCGACCGAGTTCACGCATCCGGTGTGGCCGCGAATGTTGCGCTGGTGGAAGACTTGGTCCGGCTGGTCCGGGTAAGAGCGAAATTTTCTAAAACTCAATCTATTTTACTGAACCAAGGCATACCGAAAGCGTTCCCTGAGTTTGCAGTCCATATCGTTTTCTTTGGCCTCGCAAAAGTGGGCCAACTAGCTATCTGTAAAATAAACTTATTGAGAAGTATTTAAAAGCGATGAAACAAGGCAAAACGAGGAAAAAAAGATTTCTAAAATCAGCTGTCTCGGAAAATTTAGCTCCCCCCTACAAGAGGCAACCAAAAGATCGCTTTTTTTCACGTTTTGCCTGGTCATCCACCCCAAAAACGTGCCCGAGCAGCTGATAAACAACGGGGGCACTTGAGGGCACAACCGGGGCATATACACCTCGTGTTCTATTACTGGCATCTACGGTGCTCGGGACAACCGAGTGGAACTCCTCTTTCCGCCCGGCTTTTGCCGCAAGAGCCCGGGCTCCAAATCTAATGTTTGAGAAAGCGAAAAAAACATCAAATTATTGAAATTCAGAGCCAAAAAGCAAAAGTCCACGTTTTAGGAGGCGGTGTCGAACGGAAAATAGCCTTTCCAAGTAGCGTTAGTGTATTTTAGGGAACAACGGCAAAATTACGCTATCTAAATCACAGCCGCGCGGATTTTTCCATTTTCGGCACTTTTCTGTTTGGTTTTTACAAGAAACAATCGTTCGCAAGCTTATACAGCTTCTTTCTAGGCTTGGGCAGCGTGGAAAGATGGACTACGAAATGGAGGAAGATGATCCCCTTCCGCAGGAATCGCAACGGCCGCAAATCAACGACTCACAGGTGCCATTATTCCTATTTTTTGTCTTACTTGAAGATTAGATTGACGAGCTGCCAACAACCGGTGAGGGTGATGCCAACGACATCAGGGTTCGGTTTATCAGCTATTCATTTCCTGATTATTTTCTTAGATCCTGATCGCCACCGATGTCCATGTAGGCTACGCAGAAAAGAAGAAGATCATCGACAACGATGCGGTCAACACTTTCGAAGAGGTGCTGCAAATTGGCAACAAACGAGGCGTTGACATGATTTTGTTAGGTATCCAAGCTTTAATGCATGTTTCTAGAAGTGTTTAGGTGGCGACCTGTTTCATGAAAACAACCCTTCTCGGGCTTCGGTCAACAAAGTGAGCTTTAATAATTAAATTAGAAAATCGATTTAGGTGACGGCATTACTCCGCAAATATTGCATGAACGACAAAGAAGTGGCGCTCGAATTCCTCTCCGATCCCACGTGCAATTTCAACCACAGCGGCTTTGACCGCGTCAATTACGAGGACGAGAATTTGAACGTGGGCCTGCCTCTTTTTACGATTCATGGTAACCATGATGACATGACCGGAAAGGTATTAATTTTCCTATTTTTGATGAAAGTTTTTAGGGATTGACTGCTCTCGATCCGCTACATGAAGCCGGTCTATTGAATCTTTTCGGAAAATTCACCGAGGCTGACAATTATAATGTAACCTGTTTTTCTGGCAGCCTGAAAACTTCTTTAGGTCTCGCCGATCCTGCTCCGGAAGGGGACGACTCGTCTTGCGTTGTATGGGATGGGCTCACAACGGGACGATCGAGTCGCGAGGGCTTTTCAGAGTATTTTTTTCTGCTTTTTGTGGATGAATTTTTGGTAATGGACTGTTAGCAGGGGGGAGGATTGATTTTTTCTAGTAATCCCGTACCATAAAAAGGAACCAGTTTTATATCATGTCACGCGGTTTTTAGATAGAAAAAGCATATAAAACCGTCAAAATTTTGTAAATTTTTTGATTTCCGTCCAAAACGTATGAAAACTGACCAAAAACGCCAGAATTTTCAAACTCTAAAGTTTTTTAGAACTTTCTAACAATCAAAAACTTGTAAAAACACTATAAAAAGCCGCTATCTATTATCAACAGGTTTTTAGAATTGATGTTATTTTATTTTAATTTATTTATTTATGAATTGAAATAAAGGAAATTTTTTAGCCGGAACGATCCAATTCATGCGACCGCGCGCCGATGCCGAGGAATGGTTCAACTTGCTCGTACTGCACCAAAATCGGGCAAAGCGATCGATGCTAAGGTGCAAAAAACGATTTTTAGCCGGCTAACAATTTGTTGAGATCCACCGGTGCCTACCTCCCCGATTCCTACATTCCGTCTTTCTTCGATTTTGTACTATGGGGCCACGAGCATGAGTGTAAAATGGGTACGCATCCGAGTTTCCCTAATTCTCCTATTATTTTTTTTTCTAGCCGCCGAGTACGTGGCGAGCAGCTCGAGCCTGGAGGGCGACGGATTTTACATCCTGCAGCCGGGCAGCACGGTCGCTACATCGCTGACGAAGGACGAGGCCTTGCACAAGCACGTCTTCATCTTGACGGTACTCCCGGAGAGGCGGATGAAGGTCATAATTTTTTAGGTTCGAGCCCGCCAATTCAAGCTGGAGCCCATCCCACTCGAGAGTGTGCGAAAAATGGTCGTTGACGAGCTGATTCTGGACAAAATGCCGGCAAAGATTTCGATGAACCCAAAGTCCAAACGAGAAGTGAGTTTTTGCTTCGTCGTAAGCAGCTTTGCTTTCCAGGACGAGATTTTGATCATGGAAAAGATCAAGCTGATGCTGCTCGAAGCTGAGAAAAAGTCCCGGCCAAAGCAGCCCAGGCCGCCGCTTGTCCGCCTGAAGGTCACCTACACCGGCGAGTGGGCCAAGTTACAGGTAATAACATTTCCTAGATTTGACATAGATAAACCGGTTCTTTCGCATTATCGGGGGGGGGGGGGGGGAGAAATTTTTTGTATAAGTCTAGAAAAGCGGAATAATTTTATAGGAAGTATTTTAATTGTGTTCCTAGTAAAATTAACACGAGGTTTTAAGTAGAAAAACTCTCTTAAAACATTGAAAATTTTTTCAAAAAGTCGAAAGTTTGATCGAAACGGCCATTTTTGGACGAAAAATCGATATTTTTAATATTTTTTTACTAAAAAATGGTGAAGTTCTTACATTTAGGGATAGTAAAAAAACAGTTCAAAAACACTCCGTTATTTATATTGAAAAGTAGTTTCTTAACAAAAAATTTCTTCCCCTGATAATGGGAAAGAACCGATAAACTTTCGAAATTCAACATAAAATAACTTGATTTAGCCTCCCAACGGACGCCGTCTTGGAAGCGAATTTTTGGAGACCGAAGTGGCAAACCCGGGCGAGATGATCATGGTATTTCCTTAAATTGAAGACCTCCGAAATTTCCAATTTAGATTCGCCGAATTACAACAGCCAAAAAGCAGGCGAATCATGCGAACAAGGGCGATATCAGGAATACGCAATATCAAGGACCAAGAACTGTAGAAGCAATGGTAGCTTATTTTTTGGTCCTTTCGCATTATCGGGGGGCAAATTTTTTTGGATCGAACTTGAAATATAAATAACGGAGCTGTTTCTAAACTGTTTTTCATTATTCCTAAACCTAAAAACGTTACAAGTTTTTATTAAGAATTTTTTTTAAAATTTTTTTTTTTTTTTTTTTTTTTTTTTTTTTTTTTTTAAAAAAATAAATATTATAAAATTTAATAAAAAAAAATTTGTCTCCCCCCGATACTGCGAAAGAACGATTTTTCAACATAGCAATTTAATATTTTAAAAATGTTTTTAGCTTTCCGAGCAATATCGAAAAGAGCCCATTGAAGATCGCCTCTCTGTGCTCACGGATTCCTTTATGGCGGATACACTACGTGAGAATCTACGTTATTGCGAAGCTTAATTTTTAGGGGTATGTGCCGATGACGAAAATGACTCGACAGCAAAAACGAAGGAAATCAATGCGTTACTGGAACAAGTATTTTTAAATGTTTACGTTTCATTTTTTCTAGGCAATCCACAAGCAAAAAGGCGAAGTCTCAAAGAAGCTCGAGAAAGCCGTTGATCAATTTCTATCAGTAGGGGCTCTCTTTCGTTTTTTTTCTTCAAAAATATCTTTTAGTTGGAAGAAATGCCGCTCGAGAATCTGAACTCGATTGAGGATGATATCAAGAAGTTGTTGATGGTATGAACTTGTCGGTAAATCTTAAGCTGATTTTGTAGGAGCACAAAAAGAAGGCCTACGAAAAGGACTACGAGCGAGAGGCAGCCCGAGCTGCTAGACGCATCGTGAAGGCAATTTTACTAAGATTTAACGTTTTATAAAGAGCACTTTTAGGTAAATCCCATGGAAGAAGATTCGGACTGATTGTAAATTTGCGACTCGATTACGTTGTTTTTGGTTCTTTTGTATTATCGAGGGCGGGATAACCTATTTTTTTGTCGAAAGCTAGAACGGCCTAGTAACTTAATAGGAAGCACTTTATTCGTGTTTCTAGTAGAATATAACTATATTTATGCTAGAAAAACTATCTTAAAAATTTTAAATCTGGAAACGAAACTAATTGAAATTTTGTTCAAAGAATCGGCTTTTTGGGCGAAAAATTTATATTTATGTGTTAGTTAGCGAAAATTTGTGAAGTTTTACGTTGATCAATAGTAAAAAAACAGCTTAGAAACACAGCCTCTATTTCTATTTGAAAAATTGGACCAAAGAAAAAGCCCCCCCCCCCGATAATGCGAAAGATCTGTTTTTGTTCTTGTTCTTGTCGTTGTTGTTATTTTTGCTTGTTCTTCTACGTTGCAATTTTGCTTTTTTGAAAATGATTCGGGTCAACCTCGAGCGAGGCGAGGTGCGCAATAAACGATTCGACTCCTCTGTGTGTGGTGGCATTTGGGATGGGTACAGGTTTGCACCATTTCTCTTTCGCCTCTACGCCCCGGTCGTGCTCTTTTTTTTTGGTACCAGATCTCGCGGAACGCGCCGATCAATGGCTGACGGCTTGGGGCAATGGCTTTTTGGTGCTCGTTTGTCCAAAATTTGGTTTTTAGCCTTTATAGATTTAGCCTTTACAGATTTTAAGACATTTTTAAGAACGGTGGTAACATGAATTGTAGCTTTTTCTTTTGCTACAATTCATTTTCATTTTTTTCGATTGTTTTATTCAAAGCGCAATTAGTGGTGCTTTGGCATTGTCGGGGGAGGGGGACCTAACTGGCTTAATAGGAAGTGTTTTAATGGTGTTTTTAGTAGAATAAAACCATTAATAAAAACTCGCAAAAAACGTTAAAAAAACTTCGAAAAGCCAGATTTTGGTCAAAATCCACCATTTTTAGTTGAAAAATCGATATCTTGATATTTTGTAATAAAAATTGGTTACGTTTTCACGTTTCGGAATAGTCAAAAACCGGTTAGAAACACTTCCTCTATTTTTCAAATTCTTTGATTTTATTTTTATTGATCTGCCGAAAACCTTTCCACAGCAACCTTTCCAGGATTGACGGCTGCCCGCAATAACCCCAACTAGCGCCCAGCACATCTTGGATGTCACAAGAATCGCGTCAGAAGCGCAGAAAATCCTTGGAACAGTAATTCAGTTTTCACAGCTTTTTTTTATTTGAAATAGCGTAACCCTTCGCCACCACAACTCGACCGACAGCATCCCGGTCGGCGCCGATTTCCAGACTTACCAGGTATGACATCACTTCTGGTAGCTATACATCTCTGAATTTTAGCAGCCAGGACCTAGCCCGGGCCCGGGAGCGCGCCCCGACACTTTTGAGACCCCGAACAGACGTGGCTTTGAAAGGATGTACGGTGTTCTCTTGACTGATCGCTGTGATTTTTTAGGAATACCCCGCCACCCCGCGAAAACGCGAGTGCACCCCGACCGGAAGAAAATGCTCGGCAAACCTTCGACGCCTTGGCTTCGACGTTTGAAGCGCTGCACCGGATGACGGTATGCGTGTTTTTCTCGCATTTATACGCTATCGATTTAGATCACCACCACCGAGGAAAGCCGCCGTTTCGCCAATTTGCCGGTTCCGGAACGAATCTCTTATATCAGGGTAGGAATTGATTTTGGTCTCCCAAATACTGAATATTTGCCCAGAATTACTCGGATGGGAAATGCCGGCAACTTTTGGAGGCGGAGATTTTGCGCGGGGAGCAGCTGGAGGACAAGAATAAGCTATATCTGCAAAGGTGATTTGATGGCGAATGCTGGATGTTTTTTTAGAAATTACGATCTCGAGAATCGGCTGGCCTTCGCGGAGACGAATCTGATGCGAATGCAGCATGACGTGATGGACAAGGTCGGGTTTTTTGTTTGTTTGAGACTTAAGCGTATTTTTAGGCGAAAATGACGATTGACGGTCTGGTGACATCCCTTGACGGCGAGAAGCGGGCCAATGAAGCGCTGCGGGCTTCGGTCAAGGCGCTAGAGGTACATTTTTTACGCGAAAACGTCACGAATTTTTTTAGTCCACCCGGGTAGCACTCGATGATACTTGTCAACGGCAAGCCGAAGAGATATCCGAATTGAAAAAGGTGGGAAAATTTTTGTAGGCCTAGTAACGTAATCGGAGGTATTTTAATAACGTTTTTAGTAAAATAAGACTATGTTCGATAGAAAAACTTTCCAACATATTTTGCTCAAAAACGGCCATTTTTGGTCGAAGATTCAATCAATATTTGGTACAATTCAAATAGGCGGGGGAAAGATTTAGGCAGGGGGGAAACCAACTTTTTTTGTCGGCCCTGGTGGGGATAGTAATCAAATATAAAGTGTTTTCACATTGTTTTTAGCAAAATTTAAGCCTATTTGAATCGGAAAAACTTTTTAAAAAGTTAGAAAAACGCTTGAAAAAGTCGAAAATTTGGTCATTTTTGGGTCGAAATAATTGATTTTTCGACCTAAAATTAAATTTTTTAATTAAGTTTTGTAAAGTTTTTATGTTTAGGAATAGCTATAAACAATTTAGAAACACTTCCACTATTTATATAAAAAATATAGGCTTGGGCGGAAAAAAGTTCGGTTTCCCCCGCCTAAATCTTTCCCCCCCGCCTATTTGAATTGTACCCAATATTTTTTTATAGCTTTTTAGTTATATAAATTTGTAACGCTTGTACGTTCAATAAAAAGTAAAAATCCGTTCAAAAACACTTCCTCTATTTATATTAGAACATTTTTAGTTTCCAAATAAACGGAATTTTAGGCCAACTCCCAGCTGAAATTTGACTTCCAAACCACTGACACCCAACGGCGCACCCTGGAGGATCAGCTGGACGTGACGAGGCGACGCGAGGCTGGTCGGTGCTTTTCGTACGGCTTTAGAAATAAAATCCTACCTTATATAATTTTGGAGTGTATCTCTGTGTGTGTGTGTGTGGATGTCACTTTCGAGGCCCGATTTGAGGGCCTTCCCGTGTCCCAAATGCGCTGATTTTTTGTCACTTGGGGGAATCGACCTTCCTCTTTCCGATGGCGTTTTCAGAATTTCGATAAAATACAAGTTTACAAAGTTAAAGCCGGTTTTATTCATTTTTGGGGTAATTTGCATAATATGAAAAAAATACAAATTTCCTCATTCTTGCAATTTGCCCGTGCGTGTGTGGTCGGTGGGGGAAGGGGTCCGAAGGACCCGAGCTATCGGAAAGTCAAATTTTTCATGCAAAGGCCCAATTCCAGCGCCCAAGGCCCGCGAAGCGGGTTTTGGGCGCTGGTTAAAATAAATAAATAAATGAAATTGGAATTCGTTTAGGGGTGACAGAGCAGGCCGCCAATGCTGAGAAGGAGGTGCGGAGGCTGTCCGAGGAATTGCGAGAAGCCCAGAAAGCCGTCACGCAATATAAACAGGACATGAGGTAAAATAGTGAATTTCGCTTTGCTACCATTATGTCGAAATTCATAATGCCTAAATTCAGACTTCCAATTTTTTTGCATAGGATTTGGGGTTTTTTTCGGGAAAATTAGCTTATGTAAATCTTGACATTCTTAATTTCGTCATTATAAAATCTCGGAATTATGAATTTTGACATTGTGATAGAAACCCGTGAATTCAGTTGTTTATTTCTTTAGAAAAATCGAGTTAAACCAGACGAACGCGTCAGAGCGGCTGAAGGAGGAGAAGGTGTGTGTGGTCTTTTCGAGGCGTAACAACTTTATTCAGAAAACGTACCTCAATAATCTGCAACAGGAATGGAACGGGTTGAAGAGTCGCCTGGAGAAGGAGCACGGGGCTGAGGTTAGTCATGCTTCGTAATTGATGCCCCTGGTTTAGATGGCCGCACTGCGAGGCCAATCCGAGCGACTACAGACTGAGCTCGACGACATGCAACACGAACTTCGGGCCGCCCTTCATAAGGTTTGCTCCAGGACGTTTCCGGTGGAACACGTTGTTTTTAGATCCGCGAGCTGGAGCACGGCCGGATGGCGTTTGAGCAGCGGACCAGCGAGGATCTACAGCGTCGCATGATGGTCAAGTACCGCGATTTGGTGCAGGACCTGGCGCCGCGACGAGGTAACGTGTTTCGTGCGCAGAAGTTTTGCAAGCAATGCCGTGCAAGCAAAGCAATTTTGTTATGCCCGAAATTCTCTTATTTAAAAAAAACATGCAGGTTTGTAATTTCAGGTGCATTTTTTGCTAATATAGATATAGGAAATGTTTATCCGTGTTTTTACCATACTTTACAGATTACAGAAACCTAAAAAGGTAGATTTTTCGATCACAATATTTTTTAGAAGCGTCGTTTAAAAGACTTTTTTGTATTTTTAAAATGGTTTTTCCATGTGAAACAGGTCGCATTTTATTAATAGATCTATAATGTGCCTAGATTTTCTATAGCTTGCAAATGTATTTGTGCGATTTTTTTAGTCCAGAGCGAAAAACTACAGATTTTCGCTAAAAATTTAATTTTAAGTCGAAAAATTGATTTTTTCGACTAAAAATGATCAAATTTTCGACTTTTTAAAATCCCCACAGGAAAAATAGTAAGATATTCTTTTTTTTTGGCAGAAGTCTCCCCTCCCACCATTCCTCCAAGCTATCGGGCGCCGTTCGACCAAGAGAATGCTGGTGAGCGCGTTTTCAACCTTCTTCAACCCCCGTCCCGAATTTAGGCCCCTCCGATCAGCCACCCGAGAAGATGGGCCGTAAAGAAGCCCTCACCTCCGTGATCACGAAAGCCCTGCAGAACCGCCAGAAACGCCACTGATCTCCGTTTTGAATATATTTTGCGTCTCACCGTTGTTTATGTGATTACTCGAATGATTCTGCTCCATTTCTGGGCACTACTTGCCCCCGCCAATAGCCCTCGAAACTTGCTGTCGACTAACATAAACGGTTTCGTAACAGGTTCAGCCTGCGCCTAACAGGGAGCGCTTTTCCAGTAAAATATAATTTTACAGGGATTCTTTTAGAAAATTTCACCAAGAATTTATACAATAGTTATTTATACGTATTGCCAAAATAATTAGTCCAAACACGCAGGCTGATAGGTCTACCGCACGTTGGAGATGTGTGGAAACAGACAATCGACCTCTGCGCGTCAAAATGATCCTTGAGGGCACTAATATGCAGATGGGGGAAGTTTGTAGTCATCCTTCTCTCTTGGTTGCTCAGGCTGATCTCTCTTCCATCTGCGCTCATCCTCATACCCTGCAGGTTATCCGTTGAGCGTTTATCCAGTGTTTGAGAACTGCTTGACGACTTTGAACCCATGTGGGCCCTATCACAGTAGGCCATTTACAAGCCAATTCACACAAATATCTCTCTCTCGCTCTCTCTCTCTCGCTCTCTCACACGCTCTCTCACTCTCTCTCTCTCTCTCTATCTCTCTGTCTCTCTTTCGATCCCATTTTCAGAATGATGCCCTTTCCATATTCCAAAATTCCCCCCACTCTGCGAAATCGTGTGCATATGCATCTAACATTCCGGGACAGAGTCCTTCTTCGGACGAGTTCAAAGGTCAGTTCCCCGGCACTACGAGGCAAACCCAAACCCAAACCCAAACCCAATGCATAATCTTGGTTACGGCCAGGTCGCCGTTTTCTTAAAACATGATTTTGAAACCGTAAAATTGATTGATGATAGCATTAATATCCCGCAGTAAATAACAATGATGGGAAGATAGCTAAAAACTGCCGGAAATTTCTAGACACCCTTTAGTTATTCTCCTCTTCGGCTCGCTTTCTCCTCCACGGGCGATATTCAGCTACTCGAATCCGTTTCGGCCCGGTAAGTCGCTTCGATTCATAATAGTTTCCCCTTCTTCGGGATCCCCGGATCGAAATATTCATGTTGCTGTAGGTTTGCCACAACGGGACGGCCTTCACCTTCAGCATCAACCACGAGCAAGGTTCGTCAAACAGCGGCTACTTTAGCTCAGCATCGATCCAACTTGTTGCCTGGCGTTTGATTTTGGCCTAGAAATCGCAAAGACAGTGCTTTTAAAGAGGGTGGGCCAAAAACAAAGAGAGATTTGCGCCGAATTATCTCGAGAACCCTAACGAATTCATGGCAGGTTGATGGCTGAAAACCATTTTATCGGCGCCTGGAAAGAAATGAAACGCAACTCGATTTCGATTTTTTCGACCCAGTTTTTTGACGGCATGCGAAAGAGCATGGTCGAAATAGTAGGGCTGCTTAGATTTGCAAATTTAAAAAGTTAATTTGTATGTTTTAAATTGGTGTCGAAGTCAAAAACATCAAAAATAGAAAATTTGGAAGTCGAAAATATCAAGTCGGATCTAGAGAACGAGCTGAGTCGATTGCAAAAAAGAGCAGCAGCCTTAGGTAGCTCTCTCTCTCTCTCTCTCTCTCACACACACTCTTTCTCTCATCCCTAACTTTCTTGGTCCAATCAAACCGTTTAGATTTTGATGAGAGTTGGCGCGAAAGTCTGACGATAACCGTCCACGACAAGCCAACGGATGACCATGGCCGTCCATATCGATTCTGTTGTCAAACGACCCGAAGACTATATGACGCCATGTTAAGCAACGCGCTCATGTTCCATCCAACCGTGTCCGAATTCGTTTCGCGCCCAATTGGGGAAGGCCGTTGCGGTCAAATACTCGACATGCTGACATCGGTGCTGCCCAGTCAACCCATGAGCCTATCTATAATATTCCGGTCTTCGTTTCGTCCAGCGATGTCGTTGGGTCGGATCCCGTTCTTCAGTCGATCCTATATTTTCCTCGAGGCTAATCCCAGGTGTGGATTGCGGCCGCAGTCCAAAAGGTAGCGACGAGTTAGGCAATCAAAACTACAAACCCTCCAGAAATGCATGGGGGACAAACATTCAAGCGGTATCGGACCATTTGCCCGAAACCATCTCGCCGAAAACCATCGTGCTGAAAACCAGCTCGCCGAAAATCATCTCGCCGAAGATCTAATTCTGTATGCAAATTTTTTTCCGACTTGTTCCATTTTGGCCGAATACTGGAAAAAGCGGCAATTTGTAAATAGCACCCGGTTCACCCGGTACACCCGTTTGCGTAGCCGAAAAATCGCTGATCATGACCGGGCCAATCGGTCGGCCTCAAATGATAGGGGAAGTCTAGTGTCCGGGCACCGAAACCCTGAAAAACAGCAAATTTCTGTGCATTTTGAGTGACCTGGGGGGATGGCCTCAACTACTCGAAAAAAAGTTGCAAACAAAATTAGATTTTCGTTGAGATGGTTTTCGGCCTGATCGTTTCCGGCGAGATGGTAGAGGCGAGCGAGACTTTGGAATGACATTGCAAATGCAATAAGTAGGAGTCCAAAGTTGTATAGTAAAATGCGGCGGTTCTTTTGTCACCAGGCGTTTTGAAAGTGCATTTCGAAAGTATGGGCACAAAGCCGTTCTTTTTGACGACTTTTGAATACTGGATCTATAGAAAACCTTACTGGATATAATATTATTCTAACCGAAAACATCGCTACAATACTACTCTATTCGTTTTCACTGTAAACCTGCTTAAGGGGCTAGTTCAGCTACTAAAACAAAAGGATTTCCGCGGCCGGGGGTCGAACCCTCTCTGCGTTTTTTGTATGCGCCTCTCTCATTTCCCCGATCTCTAATAGCTGCCGTAATGGGGGACTGTTCGTGCGCACTGTGCCTACGTCCATAGTTTCCCAATGTACCAGCCCAAGCTCTAAAAGTTGAACTAGCCCTTTAAATAGGTTACAGGGCTTCAAATAACGAACGATGCCTACATAGGAGCAGACGGTCTGTCCGATATTCGAAATTCTGGAGTTTTTAAAGATTTTCGGCATTTTTCCTTCAAACTTACAACCTACAACAACTAACTTGTTACATGTGCATGTGTGCGTATGCCTAAGTCTAAGCACACGCACAAAACATCGACCGCAACGGAGTTTTCCTTGTTTTAGCTATGCATTCTGCCTCTCCAAATGGATACCAAGTGGATTGTACCCATATCAGGTATCAGTTTCTATGGCTGTACAGTGTTTTTTGCTTCAGCTGGTCTTTTCAAGTGGGGCCAAGCCTATCTTATGCAGGATTCACACCCAAAAGTAGTGGCAATAAGGCCCTAAGCAACGCGGCGCTACTATCGTTTCAAAAACGTATGGGGCCAAAGCTTCTAACAACCTTCTAAAATTTAAAACTAAAGTGAATCTTAAAAAAAAGCTTGCTCCAACTTTCTAGAATGGAACGTGGCGATTCTAAGCACTAAGAAAGCTGAAATCAGAAGTATCAAAACGAAGGTGGTTTTGTTTGGCGATTTTGTGAAAAAGTGCTATTTCGGAGGGCTAACTTGCTGTCTTTGTTGTCTTCGCACTGTAAAATTCTACTCTACAATAGTTGATATGGAGTTTTTAATATTAAGCTGGTTTGAAAAAGTCATCAGAGCTTAAACTATTTGGCGCGCTATGCCCGGCTCCTATAGACGGTTTTGCCCCTCCCGGAAAATTGCCGTCTTTGGGCTGTTTGGTTGGCCGTGGATTCTTGCAGACTCCGAATCCGTTACCCCAAACCGCTGCAGACGTCTATTCGTCTTTTGGCCGGTGATATCATTACCCAGACAGCTTTGAACGTTAAAAACGACAAAAAACGCAGAAAAACTTATTTTCACGAAATTAAGAATAGGACATTCGAAGCATTTTTTAAATGAAAGTCGGCATCAACTTTCGAAAGCTTAATCGGGATCAGCGCAGAATTCTGCTCAAGATGGGCGTGGTCCCATTTCAAAAGACCACCTGGGGCCCCGCTGGGGTACCAAAATTGGCATTGGTGCTTTCAGGCATCCATCTTGCCCGAATACCTTCATACACCGACGGACTGTCTACGCATTTATATGGACACCTTTCATAAGGTGCTACTCGCTAGCTAGCTCTCTCTCTCGCTCTCTCTCTCTCTCCCTGTCTCTCTTGTTACCTTTCCTTCTTTCTTCGTTTACCCTCTTCTTCTTTAGTTAATTGATGTCCCAATGCTGCGTTTCAATCAAATCTATCACCGCAAATCGTACTGCCTGCAATCCCTGGGTGTCATCGAGCAACTCATCCAGCATATCGTCAAGGTAATATCCGCCCGGTGCTAATGCACTTAGGGGGGCAGTCCCAATTCATAGTAAGAGGCTACGGGGCGCTCCGCTTCAGTTACTTTGGTTTTGGCTTCGGGACGTAGCTCATTCGATAGAGAAATGAATTCTCAACAACCCTACGACGTCCATTTGTCGCGGAATGACTTTTCCTCATTTTATAAAAAAATGTAAGGCAAAAATCCCATGCTTCCTCGGTTACTGTCTCCAGACATGCACTGTGAAAATGATGAGCTTTCGCTGGGGGCAAATTCAGGACATTTTTGCGTAACTTTTTTATTTTTGATCAGTCGGGGCTCAAATCAAAGATCTTAGTATATTTTCTGATGCTCTATCGATTTGCGTTGCAGAAACCTTGTAAAAATACCGAAAATGCCGAAAACTAACATTCTACTCCAGGTTTCTAGGTGGAAACGACGTGAAATCTTTGTTTTTGTTATAAATGTTTTATATTACGTCATTTTCGGCTACATTTAAGCCTCTTCGTATCTGCTCCCTATCGAATGGCGTGTCCAAAATATCGAAAAAAAATTATCGAAAACTAGCGTTTTTTCGGCGTCGGCACTTCGGCATTTTTTCGGCACCAATTTTTTTTCGGCACAAGCCTAGATTTTTTTATAAATTACGGATGCGTTTCTAAATTGTTTTTAACTATTCCTGAGCATAAAAACTACACAGATTGTAACAAAAAAATTTAAAAAATAAAAATTAGGCCGGCAATCCTATAGAACCTTTAGGGTTCGCGGGGGGGGGGGGGGAAGACCCAAAATGACCAAATTTTCGACTTTTTCAAATTTTTCTGAAAGTTCTTCTGCTTTAAATATAGTTAAAACGTACTAAAAACAATTCGAAAACACTTTATATTTGATTACTAGGTCAACCGGGACCACCAGGAAAAAAATTGGACCCCGCTGGCTCAAATTTTCCGGGGGTCTTTGGGACACCCGTTCCATTCGAGGGGCGCCGCTAGCTTGTATTTTAGAATGAACCATCGAGCGGACACACACGGTTGGTGGCATTCCGGACGCTATTGTATAGTCGGCATCGCCCTTCACAGGTAAGGTAACAGGAAAGAAGAGGGTTGTGAAGCGATATCGTGCCACCTGGGAAAATGGAGAGAAGAAGGATTTATGGGAAATTTAGGAGGACCTTGTCGAATATCGCGCCGAAATGGAGGCGATGCTGAGGAGATTGCTTGATGCTTTCGATCGCTCCCCGCCATCGAATATTCAGGTCACCAATACGTGGTTAACACACAGGATGTCCCGGAAAAATAATACCCACTCTAGCCGCCTGCAGTCGTGTCCGATTTTACCATTTAGCAAGCCCCGAAAGCTCTCGAAAAAACGTGGCCAAATGACCGGGGTGTCCCAAAACCGCCGCTGCCATATGAGCCGCTCCCAGCGCACCCAGTTCATCGGTCCGGTGGCCTAGTGGTTTGCGCATGGGTTTCTGAACGGTACGGCGAGGGTTCGGATCCACTCACGATTTTATTTTTTGCTTTTTGACCAGTTCCTACTTTTTGCATTTCCAAATTCGGGAATAAGTTTTTCTTGACTGTGTGACCCCTAAAAAGCACCAGCGATGATAAAACAACCTCGCGCAACAAAACCAGGATTGGACGCTCTCTACATCAAAGTTGGCAAAATCGTCAAAAACCGCCCTTTTAAGACTCTGCACAAATTCGAAGAATGTAATTTGTCAAACATGGAACAGTACATCTTCTCAGCAGAAAATTCTCTTTCAAATGAGCTATCTTACATCGGCTTTACGCAAAATCCTTGAAACGTCTTCGGCAAGCTGGCCAAACCCTACCCTTACACTGCATTCCAAAAATATTTTTTGCGGAGATTTTTGGCGGCCGTATGTAATATAGCACGTAGCCGCACGTTCGTGCGCTGATTTGCTGATAAGCCCAAATCCAGCCGAATCTGGCAATGTTCCAAGAATCCACGTAACCAATGGATTGCGCTATCCCTTTAATCAGTTTGTCTTCCGCGAGCATTAAATTCTCCACTTTCCAGGTTTCCTAAATGATCTCTGCTCGCCGCCCTGTTGCCCCCGATTAACCAGCTGTTGAGGCTTTGTGCATTGTGGGAGGTGCACAATAGCCCAAATATATAGACTGTAGTACGGTCATTCGGCTGTAATTCTTCCTTTATTACCCACTGAATATCGAGGAGTTTTATACATGATGGAATTGGGGGGATGATGGGATTGCAGGAAGGACTAGAGCAAGTTCAGCTAATTCCGGAGAAGGGGCGGTCCTTTTCCCTTTTCTCTGCCCACGCTAGTAGACATTTCGCACACCAGCAGTGCTATAATTCCGAATTATTTTTGTCTGTCAAAAACTTCTATCTGATTGCACTTGCAGTAAATTTTACCCGATTAGACCCGAAACGAATCAATCCCTAAACCCAAGGAACACATAACATACAGACACACACATCAAAACCCGTTCAGAGAGGCTGTAGGAATAAGTGGGCAACAAAGAATAAATGCGAAAACAGACAAAATAACACAAATGACGAATGGCGATGGCATTAGCGGACAATGAGACGTCGCGCTAGTGTTGGGTGAAGGTACGATGAAGCCGGCCGAACGCCTAGAACCCGAGAGGTACCAGACTGCTGATGAGATGTGAGTGCTATCAATCCCTACACCCTAGGACCACATACACACACACACACATCAAACACCGTTGAGAGAGACTGTAGGAATAGGTGCGCAGAATTATGATTAAAGGGCTGCCGACGGCATGTGTCGATCCCCACCCCATCAACAAATTGACAAGTAGCCAACAGGGGGAGAGGCGCAGAGACATTTTCTTTCCAGCGCGTAAAACCGTCGGCATCCCTTTAATGAAAAAAGGACGAAACAATACAAACGACGAATGGCGAGGGCATTAACGGGCAATGTGATGGCGCGGGAGCGTTGGGTGTCTTCGCGATGAAGCCGGCTGGACGCATAGAGCTCGATGACCAGGTCACCCGCCTCGAACTTGTCTTCATGCTACCTGCAAATAGACAGGTATATGTCGGCTACGCGGGGGGGGGGATTTTACGCGGGGGGGGGGGGGACGGGACAGGCAGGCCTTTTTGGATGTTTTCGTTATTTTCTGGGAATTTTCGCAACGGCATTCGATAGAGCAACGAAAAATATACTAAGAGTTTTTGTTTTAGCTAAAATTAGTGTAATATAAAAAGTTATGGCAAATACAAAAATAAGCTTTGAAAATCGGTTTGAGCGGCTGTTTTTCGATATTCGCGCTATTTTTTTCGACAATTTAAAGATGCCATTCGATAGAGCATCGAAAAATATACTAAGAGTTTTAATTTTAGCACAAAATAATGTAATATAAAATAGTTATAACAAAAACAAGTATTAAACGTTGTTTTCATGGAGGATATAGAAGGAAATCAAATTTTCGACATTTTTAAAAAATTTCTTTAGTGCCATTCGACAGAGCATCGAAAAATATACTAAGAGTTTTGTTTGTAGCAAAAAGAAACGCAAAAAAATAGTTAGCTCGGCCCCAACGGTCCGTCCCCCCGCGTAAATTCCCCCCCCCCCCCCGCGTAGCCGACATATACCAATAGATAAAATAGATTTTTTTAAATGCTAGCCAGAAATTATTCGGCGAATAAGCCAAAGAATCGGTACACCTAGGGTAACGGGGGGGAGGGAATAACGAGGGGGGCACTCATTATTATAAAACTTGCAATTACTGAGCGGCTGCCCGACGTAGCCCTGCATGAACTCGACGACGCTCTTCGGGAAGGACAGCTCGTCTGCACGGTCGACAAGGGTTTCGCGCGTCAGGTTGTTCTGCACCATGAACTGCGCCAGGTCGCCGACAATCTTCGAGGACCTGAAGAAGGTAACATTATTGCGAACGTGCCTTGGAGGAGGGGGAGAGGAGGCACGAGGAAAGTTGGCACAAAACGTTCGAAGAAACCTACAGCCGGGCTATAGTGTCGGAAATAATCTTCGGTTTCGTTGGCCATCGCTCCCAGTTCTACGCGAGAAGACCGCGGACAGCAGGCGGTTGAAGACTGGGTTGATCGGCCGGCCCTGTATAATTTTCCCGAATTCGGATGACGCAAAATGAAAAATGATCCCACTTTATATAGGTTCTCCCCACTTAGTAGACCTCCCGAACCCCCCCCCCCTAAACCCCCCTTAACCCCCCTCCCAACCCCCCTCTGTGTCCGTCTGCGTCTCTCCTCTTTCCCCACTATTTCGCCTCTCTCGCGCGAGATAGTGGGGAAAGGGGGAGAGCGCAGAGGGGGGTTGGGAGGGGGGTTAAGGGGGGTTTAGGGGGGGGGGGTTCGGGAGGTCTACCACTTAGTATCTCCGGAGTATACTAATTATTTCCTAACAAAGAGGGATGTCTGGTTTTTAATGAAAAACTTAATTTTCATGTCGAAAACAGGATATTTTGTAAAATATCATATGTGTGCCGTCATCTCGGGACCCTTCACGGTAGACCTCCCGAACCCCCCTAAACCCCCTTTACCCCCTCCGAACCCCCCTAAGAACCCCCTCCGAACCCCCCTACAGAGGCGCTCCAACCCCTAAAAACCCCCCTCCGAACCCCCTACCAACCCCCTTCACCCCCTCCCAACCTCCCTAAACCCCCCCTCCCAACCCCCCTAAGCCCCAATTTCGCGCACCCATTAGTTTTTTGGCGCAATTAGTCAAATAACGCGGTTTTTGGGCTCAGATGTGGTTTATAAATTACCAGTGGAAAAAGACCGCTTCGCGGCCCTTTTCCACTGGACCCCGTCTAGGAATCATGAATTTCCTTTCCTTTTATTGAAGCCGGACGGTGCAAGAGCCTGACTCAAGGAACCATGCGTTGGCCTGCGCCGCCAGAGCCAGCTTCGCGCTAGAAACTTTTGCCTGCGGCGCTAGCTACTGATTTTTCGCCCGGATTTAGCCTGCGGCGCGAAAGCGTAAGTCAAGGAGCTTTTCTTTGGCCTGCGGCGCCAGAGCCAGCATTCCGCTGGAATCTTTGAGCCTGCGGCGCTAGTTACTGGGTTTTCTCCAGGATTAGCCTGCGGCGCCAGGGCCTGGGTCAAATTTCTTTTCTTTGGCCTGCGGCCCTAGAGCGAGGGCCAGGCCTAAAACTCGCACACCGAGACCATAGAAATATGTTTTGTTGTTGAACTAACAAAAAGCAAAAAGTTAAATTCGGCGTGGATTCGAACCCGGACCATGCGCTTGGTAGGCCGGGCGCCTATCCAATACACTACGGGGGAGATGGCGATGGGCGGCGGGAAAGGCCTCTTCTGTCTTGGGGGCGGGCCATCCCGTGAGGGGGGACTTCTGGTAACTTTACAAAATTCCCTTTTTGAGTCTGAATGCGGCAAAATTTGTAAAAATAATAAGATGCGCGTGATCCCCACTATCGAATACATAAGTGGACCAAATTACAGACCAAAATTCCATCTGGGATTCGAGTTATGGCCCGGACACCACGGGACTGTGGCCATTTTATTAAGGACCTTCTAGTAAAATGCTCAAAAAAACTTTATTTTAAGGAATTTGGCAAAATCCAAAAAATAGTATCGGGAGAATTGCTTTCACCACTCACCCTCCAAAAATCAGAGCCCAACTCCTCTTGGCGGCCGAGAAAACCTCCGGACATACCTTTTTTTGGGCAAAATGTTAAGGATTTTTCACTATTTTTGTTGTAAAACGTTAAATGAAGAAATTTCGCAAAACGAAAAAATGCATCACTGACAAATGTGTTTCTCCACGTCCATGCCAAAAATCAGCCGGAAATTCGGCCAGACGACCGAGAAATCTTCATTACAGAAAACAAACATACTTTTCTCGCTTATAGGATAGGATTCACCTGACTCGAAAATATAAACAATCATTCAGATGCGGTCCACAACCCATGAAACTCAATTTTTAGGGCAATTCTGGTGAAAAAAAATGTAAAACTTATCGAAACCTTATAAATTTGTGCTGTAAAGATTGTAGGACAACTATTGGTGCTTGCTAACCATAATACTGACAAAAAAACCGGTGGAAACCGGTTAGAACTGCTAAAAAAACACTCGGGAAACACGAATTGAGGGTCAAAATCGCTGAAATATATTCCCCCTGGGGTTGTAAACTATTGTCTGATAGTTTTTACTTATTTTAATTGATTAATAGACGAAAAATTTGAAAAGATCTTCATATATGTATATCATTTCACCGAGCGAACCCCCCTAAACCCCCCTCCCAACCCCCCTCCGAACCCCCCTCCGAACCCCCCTAAAAACCCCCCTCGATGGTGGCGCCTAAAGCGTGGGAAAATCAGATAATAAGCCCAGATCACCTACCTCCCGTTCTGCAGCGAGAACAAGTGCGGGAACTTGTGCGAGACGAACGGCCGGATCTTGGCCAGATCGTAGTTGAGCATCCCTAAGAAAAAAACACATTCCAAAAGCGACGCCGCAGGAATGCACCTGAAAGTTGTGTCGGTGATCATGCAGCCCTTGTTGCGGCGCACGGCCTTCGCGAACGCCTCGGGGCCCTCGTTGACCAGCACGCTGCCGAGACCGACCGGGGGCTTGGTGCCTAAAATCGATTATGAAAACTATCTAGGCATATGGGAAAGCGAAAGCACTAACAACCCTAAGAAATTTCCAAAAAAAACAGATGGTACTGGTACTGGACTGTTAGCGGGGAGGGGAGGACATGGCGTTTCAGAGCGCGCACGGGAGGGGTGGTCGAGGCGTGGTGTAGTGGTCTAAGGCGGCGGTCCAGCCCCGAGACAGGGGGTGCGGGTTCGATTCCCGAGGCCGCAAACCTCTGCGTTTTCTTTTTGCTTTTTGCTCCAAATGTTCATAAAGGAATTCGTAACCCTATGAAACCCAAAAAGCTGGATAGCACCTTCTCTCCATGCGGAATAGGCCAGTAAAGATCGTAAGCTCATCGCACCCTCTTACAGGACCCATTCGCTAAATTGCTGCGCCGGGCTCTTTCTAAAACTAGGTGCAAAAGATAGAGCAAGTTCTGCTCTTCGTTCCTAGTCTGCTAGTAGATTCGAAACCCGTCATAAACAAAAGTTATAGCTAATTGAAAACTTCAAAAAACATTGAATTGGAATCGTCGTGTAAATTTCTAAAACCCCAAGTTGACTCAATATTGGGTAGTGCATGACAGATACTCTTCCAGGAAATGTAGTTGAGGCGGTTGGGTCAGCATTTAGCTGGATTTGAGCTCACTGTAAAGTGTTTTTACTCAACTTGGAGTTTCGATTCGGGACCAAGTGCATCTTGTACAGAATTTTTCGCTGATTCCGAATATGTTTTCCAAATTTGCTACGGACTGTTATTTAAAAAAATCATTTTAGGTAACAATTAGGCCGAAAAATGCCAAAAATTCAGACGCTGGCCCACTATTCCTTGTTTGGGTCTATGGTTCCCAGGGGCCCTGAAGTACCCTCTGACAGCACCCTACCCATTTGGCACCATGGTGCATTGGCAAAGTACTCGCTTGCCAAGCGCAGAGCGGCGGTTCGAATCCCGCCCTGCATCATTTCTTTTGCTTTTTGCATAAAAAATCTCATTTTTATCTAAAATGCTTGTTTTGGTCCGTGGGATGCTTGTCGAGCCAACGTCTAGTCAATTCGGACGTTGAAGTTAATGAAGAAAATCGAAAACTATAACGATACCTTCATTTTGGTGAAAACTAGGGTCATAATTGCCGTATAACTTTCAGAATAACGGTCCGTAGCAAATTTGGAAAACATATTCGGAATCAGCGAAAAATTCTGCACAAGATGCACTTGGTCCCGAATCGAAACTCGAAGTTGAGTAAAAACACTTTACAGTCAGAAGATAACGTGCACCTCATTTTTCAAACTTCAAACCATCAGAAGTCTCGATTCCAACGCTCGATTTTGACAAAACCACTATTAAAAGATAGGGCAAAGTCTGTTCTAATTTTTGAGCACATGCACAGCAAATGCACGCGCGCGCGCACACACACACACATACACACACACTATTTTTCCTATATAGTAGGATATATAGTAGGATTGCTGGGAAAATTGGTCCTCCCTAACAAAAACTACCCGCCCCCCCCCTGCTAACAGTCCAGTACCCAAAAAACAACTTGCTACCCGCTAATAGCCGGGTAACTTACACAAAAGCCGTTTTCCCGTTCTCATCCTTGCGCACCGGAGCCACCTCTTCGTAAGTTTCCTCCAGCGAAAGTTGCACATTGATCGCGTTGTTGCCTAAATAAAACCCTAATGACTTTGAAAACGTGTGTACCGGCTCGCGAAACCGCCAGTAATCTCGGAAGGTCCCGATACGAGTCCGGGTGCCACCACGTCGCTCGAAGAGTTTATGCCCTATCCGTTCGGCCATGCATCCTAAGTGATTGGTTTTTCTCGAAAACATCAAATTACCCAATACACCGACAGTTTGAACGCGCCTGGCTGCTTTTCGTATCCGCATCAGCTGCCGCCAGACCTTCGCCTCAGCTCCCTCTCGGATCGAGCAGGTCATAAGAAGCGCAGTGTCGGCCTAGACGCCAAATTCTACCAAGAATACACCCAACAAACCTGCTCCAAATTGTCGGTCTCCCGATAGTTGCTGTTGACGAGAAAAGCACGAACGAGCTCCATGTCGTTTTCGTTCATTTGGCATCCGTACGTGATGAGCTTGACGAGTCTGCCCTGACCATCATAGTCCTCGGGAGCCAGATACGAGTCGGACTCCTCGATGGAGGGCGCGACTTTGGGCTGCCGGCGGAATTTAGATGCACTTATGAAGTGGGCGAGGCTGGGTCCATCTGAAAGATCGTCAAATTGGACTGGCTAAAAACAGAACAGCTGTCCTTTCAAGCAAATTTTACCTCAGGGTCCAATTTTTCAAAAATACATAGCGGCAGTGTTTTTAAACAGCTCTTACTACTCCTAAACATAAGAACTTTAAATTTTTATAGAACAAATACATCATATTTCCAGAACAAAAAGGTGTTTTTCGAACTAGAATTTCGCGTGTTTTAAAGTTTTTCGAAGTTTTTCTAGTCGAAACATAAGTTACTTGGCATTTCGAGACCTACACAAAAAATTGTCCCCCCCCCTAATAATGCAACAGGACCAAAAACGCTTTTGCCATGTTTTTTCTTCTTTTTAGATGTCAACACACCTGATACACGGGACGGAGAAGGCGCCGATGATGACCAAGCTGTCGCCGCGAGCTGAAGCTGTGACGCAAGCCTCCACTTCAATCGTATTTTTCCAAGCATCCCTTGAATTTTTTTGAATAAAATTTTTGCGCCGCGTTTCACTTCAAGATAGTCATCCAAAATACAAGGGCAAGGATTCGTTGTCAAGCAACATACAATATCTTTATTATCAAATTCACATAGAAATAAAAAATTAAACCGAATATATCACAAGCCGTGCACACCCGTAGCAATCACCAAAAACACCCCTCAAATTATATGCTCCCTAGAAAGTAGAGTTTTTCGTAAAAAGGCAATAAGTGGGTCCTAAGTAGGTTTGGAGCCGTGCTCGAACGTCGCGACCAGGCCTTCTTTGCTGATCGGATGGTGGACGGAAAATCGGAGGAGATCGCGTCCTGCTTCCACTACCTAATAGTTGAAATTTTCGTTTCCTTTCAAAAAAGTTGCTCACCTCTTCGACTTTTCCTGACCGAATTTCGCTGCCGGGGCCGGCCTTTGAGACGCTAAAAAGCTAATGACAACGGGCTTCTAAATTTGCTTACTTGGCTTTATCATCTGTGGGTAGTGTCCTGGAAAGTCGACGTTTACGATTCCAAGTATTCTGTTGTGCTTCACATCTAAACTCGTGTCTAGGGCGAAACCTCTAAAAGATTACCGTAGAAACGCCTGTCCTTGATGAAAGATGATTATCCGAAGACCCTCCAGAATTGTTTTCAAAGCCTCCAGCTTTATCTTGGTTTCCAGGAACGTCTCGTCCTCAGAAATGATCGTATCAGGCTGAACAGATCCTGATCCATAGTATCTAAATCCTTACATGAAGAGAAAGGTCGGTCGCAAAAGTCCAAGCGACCACCCAGCGAATCGTTTTCCCTTGGTAAAGGATAGAGAAGGCCAAGAAGACGTTGTCAAGGTCGGAAAGGCGCTTTCGGATGGCTAACTTTGAAGATTTCTTGCCCAACATCACAGTAAAAATCCTGAAACTTCTATTTATGGATTTAAAAACAATCTTACCTAACACGATCCCGGATCTTCGTCGACTCGGCAATGATCCGTCCAACAAAAGCCACCTCGCCTCCTTCAGTGGCCAGCTCGTTGCCCTTTGCTACAGTAGAGGAATTTGGCGCTCGTCGCTTGTGTTTGTCCTTGTTGTCCTGGTTCGAATAGCCGCCTCTTCCCGTTGAATAGTTGAAACGCTAAAAAAATAAGGGCTGAAAGAATTTATTCACCTCGTTCAGCTCCTCGTCACTGAAGAACGGCGGATTGCAAAGTGTAAATGTGAATTGTTCGTCCGGGTAGGCATCGACGACCGGCTAAAAAGGCTTCGAAGCTTATCATTGCAAAGTGCTTACCCCTATAATTTCATCACCTTCGACGAGAAACGTCCTGATCCTGTCTTGCAGCTCGTTGGCTACGATGTTCGCTCTGGCTGTACTAGAGCAAAATGAGGCCGAAAAAATAACGTTACGCTAAACTCGTTTCGTCCACGTCCGTTGCCACGAAATCCCAGTGATTTTTCCGGGCTCCTAGCAACGAATAGATGCACGAGGCGCCGGTTCCTGCAATGAAATCAAGCATTCCTTTACTAGTTACCAATGTCGATCCCAAGCACTCTTCCTTTGTCAAGTGAATTCAGCGCCAACAAATCTTCGATCCAAAGCAGATAGTTCAGCTTCTGCGGGATACGAGGGACCAGGGAATTCTGTAAAAGAGTAAAAATAAACCTCGGAAAAGATAACCAAACCTCGGGAAGGTCCACCGAAAGTCGAAAGTCTTTATGAAGGGTTGCTCGAGTCAACTCCCGCACGGCGTCGACGTCACGAAAATCAACGATTAACTGAAACAACGTTGTTGTTTTTTCGTGCTGTTTCGTTTTCTGCGATTTTCTGGCATCTAAATAACTTTCAAATACCAACTTTGTCACTCGAATAAGTGCAGTGCTTGCGGAATCGCGGGTATTCAAGGGCGAGCTGCTGGAAGTCGGGCGGCGCGCCCTTGTAGATGTTGCGCCGATGCATCAGGTGATTATAGGTGAGCATTCTGCAAAAATTAATATATTTTATTATAAACCAGCGCCCAACACCCGCTTCACGGGCCTTGGGCGCATATGGGTCTATATAAATAGTCTATAGGGTTTATATAAATAGTGGAATTGTTTCTAAACTGTTTCTAGCTATTCCTAAGCATAAAACTTTACAAAATTCAATAAAAAAATTAATTTTAGGTCGAAAAATCAATCTTTTCGACCAAAAAATGCCCACATTTTCGACTTTTTCAAGCGTTTTCCTAACTTTCTAAAAAGTTTTTCCGATTCAAATAGGCTTGGATTTTGCTAAAACAATGTGAAAACACTTTATGGGGGAAATATACGGAATAAATACGCGTTTTCGCAAAATGGATAAAGGAAAATTTGAGACTTGGGCAAAAAAGTCCCCCCCCCCCCCCCCCCCGGAATACGCAAGAACCAAAACCGACCTTAACTTTGTAAAATTGTATGTTATCGAAATTCTGGGAACGCCATCGGAAACAGAAGGGTCGATTCCCCCCGGATGACGAAGAATTAGGGCGTTTCATGCACGGGAAGGGCATCAAATCGGGCCTGGAAAGTCATATCCACACACACACACAGACACAGTTACATGCCAAAATTATATAGGGTAGGATCTAATGCTTAATTTTTCACAAAAAATCTTGCGCGAGGAATTTGCAGTGTACGCGCAGCTACGATCGACACATTGATGAGGCCGGGAAAGGTTCGGAACGAACGCCTTTGGAAAGCTTTCAATAGAAAGGAAATTCTTATCTCAAAACCCTGCCTCGCTTTTAATTAATGCCGTCCTTAGCCCCTTAATTCAAGATAAAAACATTTAATTGAAGCAAGTTATAACATAGGCAAAAATAAGCCTGAAAATGGGGTTGGCAAGCTATTTTTTGGGTTTTCGATATTTTTCTACATTGCCTTGTCGCTATTCGATAGCGCATCAAAAATATACTCATTGTTCATATGCAGCCCAACATAATGTAATTTAAGATGCGAAGCCATTGAGAAAAAAATTCTCCCGCCCCGCTAACGAACCAGAAAGTGGGAGCTGCTCGGCATTAGACGGCCTCTCGTCCGGAACATCGAGTGCGCAACGCTGCGCCGGGGCCAACAGTCCTATCACCGCGAAGAGTTTGCCATCATTCACCTAAACAGAGGGTCGAACATCAAGATAAATTTAGACCTACCGCCTCCTCAGAGCTTTCAAAGTCGTCGAGAACTTTTTCGACGTCTGTGGCTCTCACAATATCCGTCACAGTTAGCATCACTAACGACTTCACGAAATCCATGGGTGGCTCGGTGATGTCGGCCAGGATGCATGCGTTGTAGATTACCACCGTCACCGCTGAAACATAACAATCATATTATGCACACAAAAAAGTCTCAGTGTCCGAGGCCGTGGCTTCCACAAAAAAACAATTTTATAGAATTTAGGGTAATGCTTATTCTTCACATTTTCAAAATTAGGCTGACCGGTACTATTGAAGTTGGGGGGGCAAAATTTTTTTGCGGCCAATTTTCGTCATTCTCGACTATTTTGTTCAGTTTTTAATGCTGAATCGAATGCAACTATTTTTAAATTTATTTGATAATAACAACGTAACAATTAGGTCAACAAAATAGCATAACAACTTTCACTCGCAGGGATAAACCTCCGTGACGTGCGACCAGTAGTGAAAGAACGTATCCTTTCCAAATTCCTGTTCGGCATGAGCTCGAGCAGGGTTATGTCGCGCAACGCGTCGATTGAGTTGGCCATGGTGTTGGCCAAGTTAAATGCGAAAAGTAAACTTTGAACGCTCCACGTTGCCTTTTATACCTCTATCGAGTGTCTTTTAGGCATCATTACTGTATACCGCCCGAAAACCCGATGATAAAACTACTATTAAAAATGTTGCTAAAATATTCAGAAAAACGAATCCAATAATTTTAAAAATAGTTGCATTCAATTCAGCATTAAAAACTGAACAAAATAGCCGAGAATGACAAAAATTGGCCGCAAAAAAATTTTGCCCCCCCCCAACTTCAATAGTACCGGCTGACCTACTAAGTCGTCTATTTTCCCTCATATGACATTAAAAAACGAGATCAATAAGCTTTGTAGCTTACCGATGTAAGCGATCGCCGCCTCCACAACACCGCCCGCCTTGCCGACCGCCTCCATGCCGACGAGGAGGTTGGGCACGTAGTTGAGCGAGTCGAACACTCAGAAGATGTCCATGCCCGACTTGACGGCCAGCTCGGCAAACTTGTCGATGACGTTGTCCGGGTAGTTGCTGTAGCCCATCGCGTTAGCAGCGCGAAGCAGTCCCTAAAATAGCAGGTAATGATGATGGCGTTTCGACCTCTACTTGGAAAGGAATATTTGGGATGAGCTTGCGCAGCGTCTCCAGCCGTTCTCAGGGGCACTCGTGAAGGAAGCGCATCGAAACGTCGATGGTGGCGCCTAAAGCGTGGGAAAATCAGATAATAAGCCCAGATCACCTACCTCCCGTTCTGCAGCGAGAACAAGTGCGGGAACTTGTGCGAGACGAACGGCCGGATCTTGGCCAGATCGTAGTTGAGCATCCCTAAGAAAAAACACATTCCAAAAGCGACGCCGCAGGAATGCACCTGAAAGTTGTGTCGGTGATCATGCAGCCCTTGTTGCGGCGCACGGCCTTCGCGAACGCCTCGGGGCCCTCGTTGACCAGCACGCTGCCGAGACCGACCGGGGGCTTGGTGCCTAAAATCGATTATGAAAACTATCTAGGCATATGGGAAAGCGAAAGCACTAACAACCCTAAGAAATTTCCAAAAAAAACAGATGGTACTGGTACTGGACTGTTAGCGGGGAGGGGAGGACATGGCGTTTCAGAGCGCGCACGGGAGGGGTGGTCGAGGCGTGGTGTAGTGGTCTAAGGCGGCGGTCCAGCCCCGAGACAGGGGGTGCGGGTTCGATTCCCGAGGACGCAAACCTCTGCGTTTTCTTTTTGCTTTTTGCTCCAAATGTTCATAAAGGGGACCAATTTTCCACAGTAATTCCGTACCGCCCTATAAAAAATGTAAACCATTTTTATAGCATTTTACACCGTTTTTGGATATAAGAAGCCGGTTCTTTAGGATTTCCGGGGGGGACCAATTTTTTCGATATAAGCCTAAATTTTTTTTTACAAATAGCGTGTGCGTTTCTAAATGGTTTTTAACTATTTCTAGGCATAAAAACTACACACATTTTAATTAAAAAGTTTAATTTTAGGTAAATAAATCCTATAGAACCTTTAGGATTAGCAGGGGGGAAAGACCCAAAATGATTCAATCCTATTGACCCCCCGGAAATGTACGACTGTCGAAATGTGTGGCTTTTTGGTCAAAAATGTATGAAAAATGACCAAAAAAAGGTCAAGCATTTGAAATTTTCAACTCTAAAAAATATTTTTTAGCACTTTCCAGCAAGCAAAAAAAAGCTACTAAAAACTATAAAAATACGCTAAAGACTATTAACAGGTGTGGGCGGCGAAACAAAAATGGCTTTTCCTGCTAAACCCCCCCGCTAACAGTCCAACACCAGTAATCGTTGGCAACCTGCCAAAGTAGCTTACCGGCTTTGAGGTCGGGAACCGGGGGCTCGACGTGGGCCGGCTTTGTAGTGGTGGCAAGCGGGGTGGTGGCGCCGTTGACTTGGATCTGAATTTTGGTTGCGCTGAGAATCTCTTTGCATCGACAAACCTCGCCCAAATACGTGAGCAGCTTCTGGGCACGATTTTGGCTGGGCTGAAAAGAATCGATATTTCATAGGGTGTAAATTACAACACCTTGAAAGCAAACAATTCCGGGTGTTCGTCGATGAAGTAGGTGTCGACGGAGGCGTCAATAAAGGCTTTGTGCTGGAGGACGTTGAGCAGGAAGGGAACATTCGTCTGAATTTCAAGTTTTGAGGGGTAGAAAACCTCATGAAACCCCATTTTTTTTGTTAAAAGCCCGAGTTTTCAAACACGAATTCGCACAACTTTTTTCATGGTCTTTTCTGTTTTTTATAAAGAAAAACGACTCGCAAAAAAACTGTTCTAAATAGTCTGCTCCTAAAAATCTAAAACCTAACAGAGAGCTTTCTTTATTTATTTAGTTCGGATATGATTTTCTAACACAAATAGTGGAAGTTTTTCGAAACGATTTTTATTATTTCCTAAACGTAAAAACGATACAACTTTTGCTAAAATATCACAAATGGCGATTTTTCGACCAAAAATGGTCGCTTGCTTACAAAATTTCGAATTTTTGAAAAGCTTTTGGAAAGTTTTCTAGCTGAAAATAGTTATATTTGACTAACAATATTATAAACATACTTCCTATTCAGTTACTAGGCATTTCTAGGCTTATACCACAAAATTTCGTTCGTCCCCGCCTCCCCGATAATGCTAAAGAACCAAGTGATACCTTGACGCCACGGATGCGGAACTCCTTGAGGGCGCGGACGAGCTTGGCGGCGGCTTTGTTGTGCGAGCGCGCTGAGGCGATCACTTTCACCAGCAGCGAGTCGTAGTGCGGCGTGATCACCGAGCCGGCATAGGCCGAGGCCGAGTCGAGACGAATGCCCATGCCCTCGCCAGAGCGGAACACCTCAATGCGGCCCGAGTCCGGCTGGAATCCACGAGCTGGATCTTCAGTTGTCAATCGGCATTGGATAGCGGCCCCATTGACGTGGATCGTGTCCTGCTTCAGCTTCAGGTCCTCCAGCGTCTTGCCCTCGGCCACGCGGATCTGCGCTTGCACGAGGTCGACACTAAAAAAAGAAAATAGGCGTCGTTATCGCCAGCAAACGTACCCAGTGACCTCCTCGGTGACGGTGTGCTCCACCTGAAGTCGCGCGTTGACCTCGATGAAATAGTGGTGGCCCTTCTGGTCGACGAGGAACTCGACGGTTCCTGGATTAATCAAAATTGAAGTTACAATCCTAGAAAGATACCAGCATTCTGATAGCCGACGTGCTTGGCGAGGCGGATAGCGTCGGCGAGGATCTTGTCGCGGACGCCGGGCGGCAGAGCGGGGGCGGGCGCGATTTCCACGACTTTCTGATGACGGCGCTGCACCGAGCAGTCCCTCTCGTACAGGTGAACGATATTTCCGTGGTGATCTCCTGGAAAGGGGCGAGGTCCTTTGGTGTTATCAGGGGGGCGGGACAAAAAATGTATAGTCGGATCCAATTTTTTTCAAGCTAAATTGCGAAAGTGTTTCTAACCTGTACAAATTTTTTGGTCCAAACCAGCGCTGACCCCCCGCTCCGCGGTGGTTCAGCGCTGGCCCTCCCGGGGGAAAAGGCGAAACGGCATGGCTCCGGTGAAAATTTTCAGCCCCCAGCTACGGTATATTTGGGGGTTCGCTGCGGGATTGAATTCCCGGTCGGTCGGTCGGCGGGCGTACGGACATTAGAAATTTATATATAGTAGATATATAGTAGATGCAAAAAATACGGATTTTTCGGTCACGAATGGCCGTTTTTGACAAAATTCGACTTTTTAAAAGTTTTTAGATAGCTTTTCCAGTCAAATATAATTAATCTACTAAAAACCTTACTAAAATACTCCTATTAAGTTACGAGGCATAAAAAATTGTCCCGTGCAGATACCGCGAAAGAGCCAAATCAGAAGAATTGGCGAAAAATCAACTATAATAAAACAAGAAAAAACAAACCTGCTCGGAGAAGATCAATACACTGGTCTGGTTTAACTTGGTGATGGCACGGAAGACCCGGATAGCAACTTCTCCGCGGGTCGCCACCATCAACTACAAGAATTCAACAATAATCCTCCAAAGTTGTCGCCAAATACCTTGTTGAAGTCGCGCTTCTGCTCGGCGATGCTGGCGTCCCAAGGCGAATATCAGCTTGCGGAAGGTGATCCTGGAAGTTGTCGCGTTGCAGAATGAATTTAGAGATGTGAAAAGATCGAGTGACGTAAACCAAAAAAATTATAGGGGTTTGCCAAATGCCGTCAAGGGAAATCGAGAACCGCCTTTCTAGAAAAGCTGTAAGAATCGTCCGGGCTTGGCGAAAGCCTCAATTTGCGAGGTCCAAATATCTGAGAAATAATCATAAGTTAAAATCTAAACTTCTGGGCGGGATCAGGGATTTGGGTTCTCTAGGATTCGCGCGGGAAAGACCCAAAATGACCAAATTTGCGATTTTGCCAAACATTTTTCTGAATTTTTCTGACAGTTGTTCTTCTTTAAATATACAGTTAAAACTTCCTAAAAACAATTCGAAAACCCTTTATATTTGATTACTAGGTCAACCGGGACCACCAGGAAAAAATTGGTTAAAAAAACTGAAGTCTGGGAAAAACCCTGCTGATTCAGCTTGTACAACTCAAAAACAAAAAAAAGCCGAAGCACATCAGACAAAATAGAGCCACGAGAGAAAGCCGTCTCATCGCAAACCGCAAGTATGTACCTCCGGAATTCAGTACGGAGGTTTTCTAAAGGATTAAGCTCTGAGCGATCGAGGGATATCGGCTTTCATCGGGGGTATGACAAAAGCCCGCGCGCAGAAGCCCGCACGCAAAAGCCCGCAACGACAAAAGCCCGGACATCATTAGCCCAAACGACAAAAGCGTTCACGAAAACTCTCTTTTTTTGTAAGGGATCGAAAGATTCCCCCCGGGTTCATACGTTATTTATAGTCGCTCGCACGGTACTAATGGACGGTTCCTTACGGCAAATGAAGCAATTGATGTCGGAGGGCATCTTTTTTTTTTGGCTTAACTTAGGCTTACTAGGAAATTGCAAATAAAAAAGCAGATTCTCGCTAGAAATTCGGAATCCCCGTCGTCGAGTCCGGCTGATCCACATTATTATTAAGCGATTTGTTAGCTTTTTTATTTCACTTTTCGAGTTAGTCTAGGTCTAGGTTTGGCATAGCATTAGCTTGGTTCGCTTCAACGGATGGTTTAAGCCTAAGCTAAAACCTAACAACTTGTAACAACTTGTAAGACTACGCTAAATCTAAGCAAAAGCTTTAGCCCCTACCCCATATAGAACCCTTAGGCTATTTGCTAACCGGTGCGTGCCCGATTGTCCTAAAAACGACTCTGTTTCGGCCGGCGAAGGGGCCGGCCACCCTGAGGGCTGGCGAATCGGCCGGCGAGGGTGGGCGAAGGGGCCGGCGATCCTGGCCGGGCACCCCGGCCGGCTAACCTGCGGCGAACCTGGGGCAAAAGCTCACGGGGTTTTTAACCTTACTTGGGGCGCGCACGAGAGGGAGACAGGGAAAGGGGGAGGCCACGCCCCCCTTTTCGCCCCCCAAAATGTATTAGAAAATCCCTTCTAATGGCTATAACTTTTTTTCTAGAAAAATGACAAATTCTCCGCCTGGTAATTTGTAGAGAAGACCTTCGGGAACATTTCGGTAAAAGAATCTCAGCGATCGCGAGGAAAAACAAGGATTTGAAACGCTTTGAAACGATTATCAAGACGATGTTCTCGTTAGGGCCTCACGTCGCCCCATTTTCCTAATTTTCTGTCTGAGATTCGCCACAGATTTGTCGTCGGCGCATTTATGAGTATTTTGCAAAAAAAAGCAAAACCATGTAATGATTTTACGCGAGGATAGGAATCGAACCCTGACCCCCCGCCTACGCCGTCTTGGCCACGCGCCCCGCACCCCCGTGCGCGGAAAAAAAACCCCGTGAGCTCGGCTCCGCGAACCGGCCCGGCGAACCGCAACGCGCGTAGTTGCGGCAAATGCGGCAGATTTGAACAGTTAAGCAATAAAACAATAAAAACTTAGAAATCGTGCTGTGTCAAGCGTAAATTAGCTTTACAAATTGAAACTCTAAATGGGGTGACTGCGTAAGAAAAAAAAAGACCTTTATCGACCGCAAAATAAAGCCTAACCACCATCAAACCTTTTCTATAAGGCGAGGTCTTGGCCAGATCGTAGGTGCGATCGCGCGGCCGCGCGTCACCAATGGCCAGCAGGCGTTGGTGAGCATCCCTGAGAAACATACGGTCTCCCAGTTCTTCTTTCTTTTTTTGCAAGGATTTTTTGTCAAAAACCCCATCCTACAACTAGAACTTTACAAATTCCCAGCGCTAGGCCTTACTTTAGCTGTAACGTCTAGGACGTTTTAACTGTCAAGCCCTTGACGTAAATACATACATCGCGTGTGACATAGGGAGTTAGTATATTACCGTGAAAACGTAGCGAGATTGCCCTAATACCTTTGCAAATTGCCACGATCAAAATGATGGTTATGAAAATATGCGCTCACCAGCAATCATCGAGTCAAACATGACCATCTGCATCTTCATGGCGGACAGCACGAAGAGCGCCTGCTTCGGTAATACCTGAAAGAAAAAAAGCCCATATAAAGGATGTTGTAATGAAAACGCACCTTATCCCTATCGACCACCTCGCCCGGCATCGGGGCTCCGTTGCTGCCCTTGATTCCGGCCAGGACGCGCGGCCGGGTGATCAACTCCTAAATACGAGTTTACATTCGAACATACGGAATTGACCTCACCTCGCTGGCCTCCTTGTCCCGCACGAAGATTGAGCGCATCTGGCCGTGCAGGTCGAAGAACACCTAAAATATCAGAAAGTTAGGCTCGAATTCAGAGCCCGACCTCACGCTTCTTGATTAGTTTGTCTTCCGCGAGCATAAACTTCTCCACTTTCCAGGTTTCCTAAATGATCTCTGCTCGCCGCCCTGTTGCCCCCGATTAACCAGCTGTTGAGGCTTTGTGCATTGTGGGAGGTGCACAATAGCCCAAATATATAGACTGTAGTACGGTCATTCGGCTGTAATTCTTCCTTTATTACCCACTGAATGGCGAGGAGCCTTGTACATGATGGAATTGGGGGGATGATGGGATTGCAGGAAGGACTAGAGCAAGTTCAGCTAATTCCGGAGAAGGGGCGGTCCTTTTCCCTTTTCTCTGCCCACGCTAGTAGACATTTCGCACACCAGCAGTGCTATAATTCCGAATTATTTTTGCCTGTCAAAAACTTCTATCTGATTGCACTTGCAGTAAATTTGACCCGATTAGACCCGAAACGAATCAATCCCTAAACCCAAGGACCACATAACATAAAGACACACATCAAAGCCCGTTCAGAGAGGCTGTAGGAATAAGTGGGCAACAAAGAATAAATGCGAAACAGAGAAAATAACATAAAAGACGAATGGCGATGGCATCAGCGGACAATGAGACGTCGCGGTAGGGTTGGGTGTAGGTACGATGAAGCCGGCCGAACGCCTAGAACCCGAGAGGTAGCAGACTGCTGATGAGATGCGAGTTCAGTTCCTAAACTTTGTTAATTTGATTGAACTCGATGAATCCGCTTCATATAGTCAAAAAAGGCAAGTTGGCACAAAAAGTTCTAAGAAACCTACCGCAGGGCTATAGTTCCGGAAGTAATCTTCGGTTTCGTTTGCCATCGCTTCGAGCTCGCCTCGGGCCTTGTGCGAAAAGACGGCGGACAGCAGGGCGCGGAAGACTTGGTGTACGGGCTGACCAGCTGGAGTGCTCATGCGAGCCGCAAAATAGAGGAGCTGCTCGGCATCAGACGGCCTCTCGTCCGGAACATCGAGTGCGCAACGCTGCGCCGGGGCCAACAGTTCTATGGCCGCGAAGAGTTTGCCATCATTCACCTAAACAGAGGGTCGAACATCAAGATAAATTTAGACCTACCGCCTCCGCAGAGCTTCCAAAGTCGTCGAGAGCCTTTTCGACGTCTGTGGCTCTCACAATATCCGTCACAGTTAGCATCACTAATGACTTCACGAAATCCATGGGTGGCTCGGTGATGTCGGCCAGGATGCATGCGTTGTAGATTACCACCGTCACCGCGTTGACGCTCATCGCAGTGTTTATCTGAAAAATCACAATCATATTATGAACACAAAAAGCTTTTAACAAAAATTTTTAGCTGTTTTGAACCAATTCGCCCCGCACCGAAAAAGTCGATTTCGGCTACGAGAGACTCCTTTGTACAGAAAAAAACGTAATAGTTGTGAACGTACTGTGGTACCCAATACGGGGCGTTGCAAAGGGCGCAGGAAAAGCTTTATTCACGGGACAACAGCGCCGCGGCATGTCCGCGCGGCCGCGGCCGTAAAGCTTTCATTCATTTAAGTCATTCAAGTAGCTTGCCGTGTCGAAGTTGCTGAGGCACTGACATTTTTTGTGTTTTGTTTAGGACAAGCACTCGATGCATCGCCTGAAGGCCGACGAGGCCTATCTTGTCGGCAAGGGTCTACCGCCAGTCGCCGCCTACCTGATGATTGACCAGATTATCGACACGGCCCTGAAGAACAACATTGACGCCATCCACCCGGGCTACGGCTTCCTGTCGGAGCGCGCCGACTTTGCGCAGGCCTGCGAGAATGCGGGCATCGTCTTCATCGGTCCGAGCCCTGACGTGATGGCTAGAATGGGGGACAAGGTAAGCGCGCGCGATTTTTTCGCAGTTTTTCAAAAACGTGATTCAAACGCCGTTTCCAGGTTGCTGCTCGTCAAGCTGCCATTGAATCCGGTGTCCAGGTCGTTCCCGGTACCTCTGGGCCCATCACCAAGTGGGTTATCTTCGATTTCTTGAAAGTCTCGATTTTCTACTCATGGATTCTAATCACTCTTCTGCTGTTCTTCTTCTTGACTGCGCAGCGTGCAAAGCAATAAATAAATAAATAAAACTATTTAGAGCCGAGGAGGCCGTGGAATTTGTCAAGGAACACGGCACACCCATCATCCTCAAAGCGGCCTATGGCGGCGGCGGACGCCGCATGCGACGCGTCGACAAGATTGAAGAGGTCGAGGAGGCCTTCCGCCGCGCCTACTCGGAGGCCCAATCGGCGTTCGGAGATGGCAGCCTGTTTGTCGAGAAATTCGTCGAGCGCCCCCGCCATATCGAAGTGCAACTGCTAGGTAATGAAGGAATTCTTGAAATAGCATATGGTTTTTTCACCAATTTCCATTATTTGGTTCTTTCGCGTTATCGGGGGTGGGGGCGAAACTTGTGTACAAGCCCAGAAGTGCCTCGATTTAATAACAAGTATTTTAATAATGTTTATAGTTATTAAACAAATATCACAAAACGGCCATTTTTGGCCAAAAAAAATCCCGATTTTGATGTTATTGGACCAAAAATTTGTATAGTTTTTACATTTAGGAATAGTAAAAACGGTTAGGAAAAACTTCCGCTATTTGGATTGAAAACATTCGATCCTAAGAAAAGTTTTTACCCCCCCCCCCAATAATACCAAAGAACCTCGCCTTTTTCCAGGAGATCACCACGGAAATATTGTTCACCTGTACGAGAGGGACTGCTCGGTGCAGCGCCGTCATCAGAAAGTCGTGGAAATCGCGCCCGCCCCGGCTCTGCCGCCCGGCGTCCGCGACAAGATCCTCGCCGACGCTATCCGCCTCGCCAAGCACGTCGGCTATCAGAATGCTGGTATCTTTCTAGGGTTGTGACCTCAATTGTGATGAATCCAGGAACCGTCGAGTTCCACGTCGACCAGAAGGGCCACCACTATTTCATCGAGGTCAACGCGCGACTTCAGGTGGAGCACACCGTCACCGAGGAGGTCACTGGGTACGTTTACTGGCGATAACGACGCTTAATTGTCTTTTTTAGTGTCGACCTCGTGCAAGCGCAGATCCGCGTGGCCGAGGGCAAGACGCTGGAGGACCTGAAGCTGAAGCAGGACACGATCCACGTCAATGGGGCCGCTATCCAATGCCGATTGACAACTGAAGATCCAGCTCGTGGATTCCAGCCGGACTCGGGTCGCATTGAGGTGTTCCGCTCTGGCGAGGGCATGGGCATCCGTCTCAACTCGGCCTCGGCCTATGCCGGCTCGGTGATCACGCCGCACTACGACTCGCTGCTGGTGAAAGTGATCGCCTCAGCGCGCTCGCACAACAAAGCCGCCGCCAAGCTCATCCGCGCCCTCAAGGAGTTCCGCATCCGTGGCGTCAAGGTATCAATGGGTCCTTTAGCATTATCGTGGGGGGACGAACGAAATTTTGTGGTATAAGCCTAGAAATGCCTAGTAACTGAATAGGAAGTATGTTAATGATATTCATAGTAAAATATAACTTTTTTAAGCTAGAAAAACTTTCTAAAAACTTTTCAAAAATTCAAAATTTTGTAAAAAACTGGCCATTTTTTGGTCGAAAAATCGCCATTTTTGGGATTTTTAGCAAAAGTTGAACCGTTTTTACGTTTAGGAAATAATAAAAAAATCGTTTCGAAACACTTCCACTATATGTATTAAAAAATCATATTAAATAAACCAATAAAGACAGCTCTCTGTTAGGTTTTAGGTTTTTAGGAAAAAACTATTTAGAACAGTTTTTTTGCGAGTCGTTTTTCTTTATAAAAAACAGAAAAGACCATGAAAAAAGTTGTGCGAATTGAAATATGAAATATCGATTCTTTTCAGCCCAGCGAAAATCGTGCCCAGAAGCTGCTCACGTCTTTGGGCGAGGTTTGTCGATGCAAAGAGATTCTCAGCGCAACCAAAATTCAGATCCAAGTCAACGGCGCCACCACCCCGCTTGCCACCACTACAAAGCCGGCCCACGTCGAGCCCCCGGTTCCCGACCTCAAAGCCGGTAAGCTACTTTGGCAGGTTGCCAACGATTACTGGTACTGGACTGTTAGCGGGGGGTTGGCAGGAAAAGCCATTTTTGTTTCTGCGCCCACACCTGTTGATAGTCTTTAGCGTATTTTTATAGTTTTTAGTAGCTTTTTTTTTGCTTGCTGGAAAGTGCTAAAAAAAAACTTGAAATTTGAAAATTTGAAAAGTTGACCTTTTTGGCCATTTTTCATACGTTTTGGACCAAAAAGCCACACATTTGGAAAGACTTTGTCTTTTTATAGGCTTCTTATGTCTAAACCAGTGGAAAAAGACCGCTTCGCGGCCCTTTTCCACTGGACCCCGTCCAGGAACCATGAATTTGAACACCTTCCTTTTTTTAGCCTGCGGCGCAAGTACGTTGGTCAAGGAGCCATGCTTTGGCCTGCGGCGCGAGAGCCTGGATCAAGGACCCTTTCTTTGGCCTGCGGCGCTAGAGCCAGAGCCAGGCCTAAACCTCGCGCTAGAAACTTTTTGCCTGCGGCGCTAGTTACTGGTTGTTCTCCAGGATCTGGCCTGCGGCGCAAGAGCCTAGATCAAGAAGGACCCATCCTAGGCCTGCGGCGCGATAGCCTGGGTCAAAGACCTTTTCTTCGGCCTGCGGCGCTAGATCGAGGGTCAGGCCTAAACCTCGCATGCGATAGCATAGAACGATGTTTTGCTTGCTAAACTACCAAAAAGCAAAAAGCCAAATTCGCCCAGGATCCGAACTTATGTCCTTACGCGTGGTAGCCCGGGAGCTAACCCCATACACCAAGAGGGACAGGGGGCGGGAAAGGCCTCTTCCGTTCTGGGGAGGGGCGGGAGGCAATGAGAGGGCCGAGCCAATGCCCCGGGCGGGAGGCCTTCTGGTCACTTTTCAAAATTCCATTTTTGAGCCTCAATCCGCTGAAAATTTGTAAAGATAATAAGATGCGCATGATCCCCACCATCGAATACATGAGTGGTCCAAATTACAGACCGAAATTCCATCTGGGCTTCGAGTTATGGCCCGAACACCACGGCTCTTGGCCGATTTTGTTAAGGACTTTTTAGAAAAATGCTCATAAAAACTTTATTTTACAAAAACAGACAAAACGCAAAATTATATCTCGGGAGAATTCGATTTTCAATCTACGCTTGAAAAATTAGAGCCCGATTCGGTCTGGTAATCGAGATATCTTCTGAACAAACCTTTGTTCGGCCAAAATGTTAAGGATTTTTCACTATTTTCCTTGTAAAATCGTTATATGAAGGAATTTCGAGAAACAAAAAATTGCTTCACTGACAAATGTGTTTCTCCACCTACATGCCAAAAATCAGCCGGAAATTCGGCCTGGCGGCCGAGAAATCGGCTGAACAGAAAACAAACATACTTTTCTCGCTTATAGGATAGGAAACGGTGTAAAATGCTATTAAAATGTTTTACATTTTGCTATAGAGGCGTACGAAATTACTGTGAAAAATTGGTCCACCGATTACCCTCCACCCCCCACTGCTAACAGTCCAGCACCAACGATTCTATGCCCCTATTCCAGAGGAGCAAGAAGCACCGATGGGTCGGTTTCCGGCTGAATTTGACTCTTTTTAACGTTTATTTCGATTTCGCTGACACGTAGGGACGGCGCTTTTGTTTTTGGAAATTTCTTAGGGTTTTTAGTGCTTTCAATTTGCCATATTACTAAATAGATTTCATAAATCGTTTTTTAGGCACCAAGCCCCCGGTCGGTCTCCGCAGCGTGCTCGTCAACGAGGGCCCCGAGGCGTTCGCGAAGGCCGTGCGCCGCAACAAGGGCTGCATGATCACCGACACAACTTTCAGGTGCATTCCTGCGGCGTCGCTTTTGGAATGTTTTTTTTCTCAGGGATGCCCACCAATCGCTGCTCGCCACCCGCGTGCGCACCTACGACCTGGCCAAGATCTCGCCGTTCGTCTCGCACAAGTTCCCGCACCTGTTCTCGCTGGAGAACTGGGGAGGTAGATGATCTGGGCTTGATAAGCTTTTTCTACCCCGCTTTAGGAGCCACCTTCGACGTGTCGATGCGTTTCCTCCACGAATGCCCCTGGGAACGACTGGAGACGCTGCGCAAGCTCATCCCAAATATTCCTTTCCAAGTAGGCTCACCAAAAAGCCATCAACATCCACTCTCTATTTTAGTGCCTGCTGCGCGGCGCTAACGCGATGGGCTACAGCAACTACCCGGACAACGTCATCGATAAGTTTGCCGAGCTGGCCGTCAAGTCGGGCATGGACATCTTCCGCGTGTTCGACTCGCTCAACTACGTGCCCAACCTCCTAGTCGGCATGGAGGCGGTCGGCAAGGCGGGCGGTGGCGTTGAGGCGACGATCGCGTACAGTGGTGAGTAGACCTCCCGAACCCCCCCCCCCTAAACCCCCCTAACTAGGGGGGTTGGTAGGGGGGTTGTAGGGGGGTTCGGAGGGGGGTTGGGAGGGGGGTTGGGAGGGGGTTGGGAGGGGGTTTAGGGGGGTTTTTTGGGGGGTTTTTAGGGGGGTTGGAAGGGGGGTTTAGGGGGGTTGGGAGGGGGGTTCGCTCGGTGAAATGATATACATATATGAAGATATTTTCAAATTTTTCGTCTATTAATCAATTAAAATAAGTAAAAACTATCAGACAATAGTTTACAACCCCAGGGGAATATATTTCAGCTATTTTGACCCTCAATTCGTGTTTCCCGAGTGTTTTTTTAGCAATTCTAAACGGTTTCACCGGTTATTTTGTCATTATTATGGTTAGCAAGCCCCAATAGTTGTCCTACAATCTTTACAGCACAAATTTATAAGGTTTCGATAAGTTTTTACAGTTTTTTTCACCAAAATTGCCCTAAAAATTGAGTTTTATGGGTTGTGGACCGCATCTGAATGGTTGTTTATATTTTCGAGTCGGGTGAATCATCTATAAACCACATCTGAGCCCAAAAACCGCGTTATTTGACTAATTGCGCCAAAAAACTAATGGGTGCGCGAAATTGGGGCTTAGGGGGGTTGGGAGGGGGGTGAAGGGGGGTTGGGAGGGGGGTGAAGGGGGGTTGGGAGGGGGGTTGTAGGGGGGTTCGGAGGGGGGTTTTTAGGGGGGTTGGAGCGCCTCTGTAGGGGGGTTCGGAGGGGGGTTCTTAGGGGGGTTCGGAGGGGGGTAAAGGGGGGTTTAGGGGGGGGTTCGGGAGGTCTAGTGGTGAGCTCGTGACAGCTAGCGGTTCTTTCGCGTTAGCGACCGAACTTCTTTTAAAAGTCTAGAAATGCCTCGTGAGTTTGATAGTGTTTTTGATAATCTTTAGCTATATTTCAACTGAAAAACCATCTAAACACTTTAAAAATGTTTTAAAAAAGACGACATTTTGGTAAAAAGTCAGCCTTTGTTTGGTCCAAAAATCTGTAAATATGTCAATCGAATCTGTAAAGTTTTTACGTTTAGGAATAGTAAAAACCATTTAGAAACACCGTTTCTATTTGAAAAATTAGGCCTAAGAACAAAAAATTTGCCCCCCCCCCTCGATAATGCGAAAGAACCCAGCTATCATATTGAACCTTTTACAAGCGACGTCTCCGACCGGGCGCACGATCCAGTACTACCTCGACTGGGCCGAACAGCTCGTCAAGGCCCAGTGCCACATCTTCTCCATCAAGGATATGGCCGGCGACTTGATGCCTCTGGTTTAGATGGCCGCCCTGCGAGGCCAATCAGAGCGGCTACAGACCGAGCTCGATGACATGCAACACTAACTTCGGGCCGCCCTGCATAAGGTTTGCTCCAGGTCGTTTCCGGTGGAACACGTTGTTTTTAGATCCGCGCGCTGGAGCACGGCCGGATGGCGTTTGAGCAGCGGACCAGCGAGGATCTGCAGCGTACTCGCTGGTCCGCTCGTCGTCGTACTCAAGTACCGCGATTTGGTGCAGGACCTGGCGCCGCGACGAGGTAACGTGTTTTGTGCGCAGAAGTTTTGCAAGCAAAGCAGTTTTGTTATGCCTGAAATTCTCTTATTTAAAAAAACACATGTAGGTTTGTAATTTCAGGTGCATTTTTTGCTAATATATCTATAGGAAATGTTTGTCCGTGTTTTTACCGTACGTTACAGATTACAGAAACATACAAAAAAGTAGATTTTTCGATCACAATATTTTTTTAGAATCGTAGTTTAAAAGACTTTTTTATATGTTTGTTTGTATGGTTTTTCCATGTGAGACAGGCCGCATTTTGTTCATAGATTTAAAATGTTTAAAATGTACACTATTGATTTTTATAGTGTGCGAATGCGTTTGTGCGAGGTTTTTAAGTATTCCTGAGCATAAAAACTTTACAAATTTTCATTAAAAATTTAATTTTAGGTCGAAAAATTGATTATTTCGACTAAAATGATCAAATTTTCGACTTACCGGAACAGGAAAAATAGTAAGATATTCTTTTTTTGGCAGAAGTCTCCCCTCCCACCATTCCTCCAAGCTATCGGGCGCCGTTCGACCAAGAGAATGCTGGTGAGCGCGTTTCCAACCTTCTTCAACCCCCGTCCCGAATTTAGGCCCCTCCGATCAGCCACCCGAGAAGATGGGCCGTAAAGAAGCCCTCACCTCCGTGATCACGAAAGCCCTGCAGAACCGCCAGAAACGCCACTGATCTCCGTTTTGAATATATTTTGCGTCTCACCGTTGTTTATGTGATTACTCGAATGATTCTGCTCCATTTCTGGGCACTACTTGCCCCCAGGCCTGGGAATTTTGCGGACCGAGAAAAATCGGCATTTTTCGGGCCGGGCCGGGCCGAGAAATTGAAAAATGCCGGGCCGGGCCGGGCCGGCCCGGGGGTTTTTACATAGTCTAAAAATACCTTTTTTGGGGGAAATTGTTTTTGACTTTTTCTTGACTAAGTAATACCAGGAAATAGGTCCAAGTTCGACCCCGCCCGGCGCCTTTTTTGCTTTTTGAATTTTTATGTCAGCGCGACCGGATTTTTTCTTAGATGTATCAGTATGTATCGTAGTACTAAACTAAGACCCAAAATATATTAATAAGGCGAATTTAAACTCGAAATGGCCTAATTGAACATTATAACCCTGATATTGGTCGATATTTTGCTCTTAAAAATTGTTATAACTTTGAAATTTAAATTTTATTAACAGAAGTGCTGCAAAAATGGTATTAACAACAAAATACCTTGCACTACTAATACACCACTAATACCGTATTAACAACAGAATACCTTGCAATGGTGTTAAACCAGCTTGGCGGGAGTTTTTTAGCCAACCCCGTATTTGACCCTTAAAAGTCGGGCCGGGCCGGCGAAATCCGGCTGGCGGGGGCAAAATTCCCAGGCCTGCTTGCCCCTGCCCTAGCCAGGCCCGTAGGAGGGCATGCCGCCCCCCCCCCCCCTTGAAAATGGGCGCTAAACGGCAGATGTTTCACCAAGAATTTATACAGTAGTTATTTATACGTATTGCCAAAATAATTAGTCCAAACACGCAGGCTGATAGGTCTACCGCACGTTGGAGATGTGTGGAAACAGACAATCGACCTCTGCGCGTCAAAATGATCCTTGAGGGCACGAATATGCAGATGGGGGAAGTTTGTAGTCATCCTTCTCTCTTGGTTGCTCAGGCTGATCTCTCTTCCATCTGCGCTCATCCTCATACCCTGCAGGTTATCCGTTCAGTGTTTATCCAGTGTTTGAGAACTGCTTGACGACTTTCATCCCATGTGGGCCCTATCACAGTAGGCCATTTACAAGCCAATTCACACAAATATCTCTCTCTCGCTCTCTCTCTCTCGCTCTCTCACACGCTCTCTCTCACTCTCTCTCTCTCTCTCTATCTCGCTGTCTCTCTTTCGATCCCATTTTCAGAATGATGCCCTTTCCATATTCCAAAATTCCCCCCACCCTGCGAAATCGTGTGCATATGCATCTAACATTCCGGGACAGAGTCCTTCTTCGGACGAGTTCAAAGGTCAGTTCCCCGGCACTACGAGGCAAACCCAAACCCAAACCCAAACCCAATGCATAATCTTGGTTACGGCCAGGTCGCCGTTTTCTTAAAACATGATTTTGAAACCGTAAAATTGATTGATGATAGCATTAATATCCCGCAGTAAATAACAATGATGGGAAGATAGCTAAAAACTGCCGGAAATTTCTAGACACCCTTTAGTTATTCTCCTCTTCGGCTCGCTTTCTCCTCCACGGGCGATATTCAGCTACTCGAATCCGTTTCGGCCCGGTAAGTCGCTTCGATTCATAATAGTTTCCCCTTCTTCGGGATCCCCGGATCGAAATATTCATGTTGCTGTAGGTTTGCCACAACGGGACGGCCTTCACCTTCAGCATCAACCACGAGCAAGGTTCGTCAAACAGCGGCTACTTTAGCTCAGCATCGATCCAACTTGTTGCCTGGCGTTTGATTTTGGCCTAGAAATCGCAAAGACAGTGCTTTTAAAGAGGGTGGGCCAAAAACAAAGAGAGATTTGCGCCGAATTATCTCGAGAACCCTAACGAATTCATGGCAGGTTGATGGCTGAAAACCATTTTATCGGCGCCTGGAAAAGAAATGAAACGCAACTCGATTTCGATTTTTTTCGACCCAGTTTTTTGACGGCATGCGAAAGAGCATGGTCGAAATAGTAGGGCTGCTTAGATTTGCAAATTTAAAAAGTTAATTTGTATGTTTTAAATTGGTGTAGAAGTCAAAAACATCAAAAATAGAAAATTTGGAAGTCGAAAATATCAAGTCGGATCTAGAGAACGAGCTGAGTCGATTGCAAAAAAGAGCAGCAGCTCTAGGTAGCTCTCTCTCTCTCTCTCTCTCTCACACTCTTTCTCTCATCCCTAACTTTCTTGGTCCAATCAAACTGTTTAGATTTTGATGAGAGTTGGCGCGAAAGTCTGACGATAACCGTCCACGACAAGCCAACGGATGACCATGGCCGTCCATATCGATTCTGTTGTCAAACGACCCGAAGACTATATGACGCCATGTTAAGCAACGCGCTCATGTTCCATCCAACCGTGTCCGAATTCGTTTCGCGCCCAATTGGGGAAGGCCGTTGCGGTCAAATACTCGACATGCTGACATCGGTGCTGCCCAGTCAACCCATGAGCCTATCTATAATATTCCGGTCTTCGTTTCGTCCAGCGATGTCGTTGGGTCGGATCCCGTTCTTCAGTCGATCCTATATTTTCCTCGAGGCTAATCCCAGGTGTGGATTGCGGCCGCAGTCCAAAAGGTAGCGACGAGTTAGGCAATCAAAACTACAAACCCTCCAGAAATGCATGGGGGAACAAACATTCAAGCGGTATCGGACCATTTGCCCGAAACCATCTCGCCGAAAACCATCGTGCTGAAAACCAGCTCGCCGAAAATCATCTCGCCGAAGATCTAATTCTGTATGCAAATTTTTTTCCGACTTGTTCCATTTTGGCCGAATACTGGAAAAAGCGGCAATTTGTAAATAGCACCCGGTTCACCCGAATTCCGATGACACTCCCGAAAATGGGATCCCCGAAAATTGGTTTCCCGAAACTCGGAGTCCCGAAAATCGGAGTCCCGAAAAATCTGACTCCCGAAAATCGGAGTCCCGAAAACTCCGACTCCCGAAAATCTAAGTCCCGAAAATACCCGCAGTGATTTGGGTTTTTTTTTGGGGCCGGAAGCCTAAAAAACCAGTAGCCAAATTTTCGGGATTCAGATTTTCGGGAGTCAGATTTTTCGGGACTCAGATTTTCGGGACTCAGATTTTCGGGAGTCAGATTTTTCGGGACTCAGATTTTTCGGGACTCCGATTTTCGGGGCTCCGAGTTTCGGGAAACCAATTTTCGGGAATCGGATTTTCGGAAGTATAAGCAAACCCCGGTTCACCCGGTACACCCGTTTGCGTAGCCGAAAAATCGCTGATCATGACCGGGCCAATCGGTCGGCCTCAAATGATAGGGGAGGTCTAGTGTATGGTTTCCGGCGAGATGGTAGAGGCGAGCGAGACTTTGGAATGACATTGCAAATGCAATAAGTAGGAGTCCAAAGTTGTATAGTAAAATGCGGCGGTTCTTTTGTCACCAGGCGTTTTGAAAGTGCATTTCGAAAGTATGGGCACAAAGCCGTTCTTTTTGACGACTTTTGAATACTGGATCTATAGAAAACCTTACTGGATATAATATTATTCTAACCGAAAACATCGCTACAATACTACTCTATTCGTTTTCACTGTAAACCTGCTTAAGGGGCTAGTTCAGCTACTAAAACAAAAGGATTTCCGCGGCCGGGGGTCGAACCCTCTCTGCGTTTTTGTATGCGCCTCTCTCATTTCCCCGATCTCTAATAGCTGCCGTAATGGGGGACTGTTCGTGCGCACTGTGCCTACGTCCATAGTTTCCCAATGTACCAGCCCAAGCTCTAAAAGTTGAACTAGCCCTTTAAATAGGTTACAGGGCTTCAAATAACGAACGATGCCTACATAGGAGCAGACGGTCTGTCCGATATTCGAAATTCTGGAGTTTTTAAAGATTTTCGGCATTTTTCCTTCAAACTTACAACCTACAACAACTAACTTGTTACATGTGCATGTGTGCGTATGCCTAAGTCTAAGCACACGCACAAAACATCGACCGCAACGGAGTTTTCCTTGTTTTAGCTATGCATTCTGCCTCTCCAAATGGATACCAAGTGGATTGTACCCAT